GGAAATACATGTGCCTGATATATGCTGGAGTTAACAAATGACTTATAATCTTTAAGATTCAGTTTCTAAATGAAAAAATTACATTGACAGAATACTGTATCCTATGCCAAACAAATATTTTTTTTACTCTGAGTAAGGTTTAATTTAGCACGTACGTACTTTATGTATTGTATTATTTTACTAAAGTGAAGAGAAGTGTTGCATTTATATAGTACTGAAGTAAATTAATATCCAAGTTTTTTTTTTTGCTTATTTTAAGCAGTGTTTTTTTTTTAATGCAAAAAAAATCATTTGATCATGCTTCACATGTACTGCATCTTTGATTTTTTTTCCCCACTAAAAATAAATGAAATCTAAAATTATGATTTTTTTTTCCAAGAAAAAGATACAGTTTAAAAAAAAATAAAGAAAGGACAGAAACCACATTCTCGAGCTTTTATCAGATAACATTGGCAAAAAACAGAGATAAAAAATATTACTGCAATCAACCAATTTAACTTCCCTCTCAGACGGTTATCTGAACTTCTGCAAATTATGTAATCTTGTCTGCGATATTCTGTCCAAATCAAGGTTAAGGTCAAGGGTCACTGGTGTTGTTTTTCTGCTGTCACTTGTCATCTGGTGTCACACAAGCCCGTATGGTAATTGTTCTGTTGTTTTGGTTGATTTGTTTGGCAGTTGTTCAAACTGATCGTAAACTCAATATTTTAAGAGAAAAAAAATCATTCACAAGGTATCCTCTCCGTGTTCCTTACTGCATTGCATAGACAAGTACTGGTGTTTGTAAACAAATACCCCACGATGACTTAGCAGCAGTTTTGTTTCTGTGTTTGAAAGTAATACCTATACAAATAGAGATTTCTGGAGAAAAAAAAACAGAAATTGTTTGTAGAACTAATTTGTAAGCATTGAGAAGACCTGTGATCTAGTAGCGTGCAGATTTATGGCTTGGGGTAAAAAGCTGAGTGGAGTGGAGTGGAGTGGAGTCGTGGAGTCATGGAGTGGAGTCGTGGAGTGGAGTCTGTATTATAACAATACAGGAAGTTTGAGAACAAAACAATTTCTTTTGCATGCAATATCTCCCCTTCATTGTAGTTTTAGATTTGTGTTCACTGTACCAAGAATGAAACAAGAAACAAAAGAAGTCCATGCAATCAAAAACTAACGACCTTTAAATGTTAAACAGAGAATCACTTAGAAATGCTTTATATAAACACTATCTAAACTTAACAAGACTGTTTGACCTTATTGCCTATCCCAAAACAGGCAAACCTAGCAAGAGGTGTTGACAGCTTTAATATCAAACAGAGAAAGAGCACTGCACTGCAGAACTGATGACAGCAATTTAATGAGAGAGGCACATTTTTTTTTCATTTTACTATTAAAGTGCAAGATAGCCCCTTTGTTGGAATTTAAAGATCACATTTTTTTTCTGTATCTCTATCTTCTTAACACGTATCTTCCTTTTCTGGTTAAAGTAGAGGACATGCTACAGAATAGAGTGTTAAGACTCGACTGATAAATACATATCAGCCATTGGATCTGTTGAAGTTTAATAATTTACCAGGATTAATTACTAGACTTAAAATAAATATAATTACGGGAATTGAAAACAATAAAAAGTAAAATATTTATTGAAATGAGCTCAACAACTTGTGTTTTTTTTGGGTTTTTTTTTCATTTTAAAGTAGACATTGTGCATTTTAAACGATGACACACAATTAACTTTAAATAAAATTATTTTACCCTTGTTTTGTGAAAAGGGAGCTGTTTTGATTTATACCTATAATTAGTTTCACCAATATTTGATCAAGCTTGTTTTATAAATGTGACTCATAACAAAATTAATACATATGATAAATAATGTCCCCAAACTAAAACAAATGCTTTCCTTTTATTTTGCTGATCAATGTATAACATGCAGTCTATCAACCAGTATATGTATCATTTAGGCAATTATTTATTATTGATGAAAACATTTTGACAGAATTCATTGGGACTTTAAAAGAATGTTTATCCCTATAGCGATGTGATGAAATGTATTTGGTTACTTCTGATCATAAAAATGTGTTGTAAACTAAGTTATTTATATCTTATTGATTAATTTTTATATATACATGTACTGTAGTTGGAGGGGCAGATATAGTAACACATTTGTTTGTTTTAGTTTGTGTAAGTTAACAGGTGACATCATTTAGATTTTTTGCTGACAAAAGCAATATACCTTTTTCAAGCAAATTTTTATTTACAATCAACAACTGAGTAAGCATTTCAAGCGCAGTAATTAAATCTGTCAACACTTCTCGCCTGTTGGGATGGGAGTGCATATGGGTCACTTGGTCTCTGTTACTCAAAACAAAAAGTTATTCCCATTGATGTGTTGACATTTGAAGGTTATATCCCCCCATTTTCTCATTCATCTACAATATATATGAACTATTATTGTAACAGTCTCTCAATGATCACAGACAGCTATAGCTTGGGCATATAGAGTTGAAAAGGAAAGGAGGGATTGTGTTCGATTACCTGAGTAATTTTTTGAATTTCATAGCTCTACATCTACTATATAGTAACGTTCTGTAGTGTTTCCTACAATTTACCAATACCTGCTAACCTCTACGCCCAAAAGCAGAGTTGTAAATATTTACACAAAATGAGAAATAACAAACAATTAAATAAGATAGTTTTACTTTTAAAAAATAATTTAGATAGAGATTGAAAGCTACCGCATTATATAATACATTAAAATAAAATAAAATTGATTTGAATGTAATGATTTTTTGACAAATCATTGAATATTTTGTACATTGTAGCAAACCATAAAATTTTAAGAACAACACAAAGTTGACAACATCCTGCTTGAACTAGTCATCTTTTTAAAAATAAAATTGAATAACCAAATACATTTCAGCACATCGCTATTGGGATAAACTTTCTTTTAAATTCTCCATTGACTGCATGTTATATATTGACCAGCAGAATACAACGAAAGCACTATTTTTCCCCATTACTTATGATATGTATAATTTTTGTTCTGGTCACATTATAAAAATAAGCTTGATCAAATATTGGTGAAACTAATTTTGTGACTAATTGTATGTTGTTTTACATCCCTCTCTAGAATTTAAACTCATATTTAGACCCCATCACCTGCGGATGGAGATTGAGCTGTAATTTTTGTCCTATACTCGCACTATACTTGATCATTGAGCAGTGAAGGGTATTTTTCGTGCTAGTAACTACTGCGACACAGTACAATGGACATTGATGTTTGCGTTCTCATCTGAAAGACCGGTCTCTATTTAGTCCCACAGTGGAATTCAAACCCATAATGTAAGGATCAGCTCCTTACTGCGCGACTCAGAGCAGACACTCCAATCACTGTGCCACGTGGGTGACAAAACTAATTATAAGAATGAAGTATCACAAGTTCCTCTTCAAGAAACAAAGGTTAAAAATTTGAAAAATAAGTAATGCATCGTCGTTTAAAATGTGTTTCAAAAATCAGACATAGCAACACCAGTTTCTCAGCAAACATTTCAAAAAATATTATCCATTTTATGTTTCACAGCTGTATGATATGTATTTGTCAGTCGAGTCTATTAACACCTATATTCTGAAGCATGTCTCCTAAAAGGGATATATGCATGTAAATATTTAGATATATATGTTTATAAAAAAAGATAGAAATACAGAAAAAAATTGTGACCTTCAAATTCCAACAAAGAGGATATCTTTAATAGTGAAACCTATTTTTTTTTAAATATTATGTAGCTGTCATCAGTTCTGCAGTGCAGTGCTCTTTCTCTGTTTGATATTAAAGCTGTCAACACCTCTTGCTAGGTTTGCCTGTTTTGGGATAGGCGAATAAGGTCAAACAGTCTTGCTAAGTTTAGAGATAGTGTTTATATATTACGTAGTAAAGCATTTCTAGGTGATTCTCTGTTTGACATTTAAAGGTCGTTAGTTTTTGATTGCATGGACTTCTTTTGTTTCTTGTTTCATTCTTGGTACAGTGTACACAAATCCAAAACGACAATGAAGGGGAGATATTGTATGCAAAAGAAATTGTTTTGTTCTCAAACTTCCTGTATTGTTATAATACAGACTCCACTCCACGACTCCACTCCATGACTCCACGACTCCACTCCACTCCACTCCACTCAGCTTTTTACCCCAAGCCCAGATTTATTGAGTAGAGAAAAAAAATCCTTTGACAAATCAACAGATAGCCCGATATCTGTATTATGTAAGGTAGACAAAGAGACAGGGTGGGATCAGTTCCACGTTGGTGACCCCCCTGACCCCGGGAGGGATCCGTTTACCCCCTCTGTCTGGACCAGCGGTGCGTGGAATCACCGTTCTTTGGTTTGTTGACAATAGCAATGAGCAATTTGATGTAATCAGTGAGACAAGCCAAGGTTCTACGAATTCAACGTGAAATAATTCCTTGAACCTTTTTTATCCCACTTCTTGACTTCATTTAGGCTTTTTTTTAAATTCAGAGCAATTACTTCGTGAAGATGTATTCAGATTTAATTAGCTGTTTAATATAAAGGTTTTGTTAGTGGAGATAAGTTGGACGTTTAAAGCCCTTTCTCATTAAAATTTGAGGTTACCCCCCTTCCCTAATTGGCAGTAATTAACTACATGTACTGTCACCATTTTGGTGTAATTTCTGTCATGTGATAGTTTAAAATCTTTGTATTTCTCACTGTAGGGGAATAAAGCTGTTTAGTTTTTCTTTACCTGTATTTCACATGAATAAGTACAACTGAACTTTCATATGGTATGTCAAACAACGATCTCTTGAATACCATGAATATGTCAAAACTTGGATTAGAAGTCCCAAACACTTTCTCTTCATTTACATTTGTACCTCAGTATTTGAAATCCTCAGATATCTCAGACTTTTTTTGGGAGGGGGGTTACTCCTTTGAGATAATGATGTTCACATGTACCTTAATTAAATAACAATCCTTGTATTTCTATGTTTCTAGGGGTCAGTGAGTTTTAAGGAGTCCAGTGATTTCAAGGTTCTGCTGAACATCTCGTCCCCCAGTATAGATGATGCTTATTCCGTTAAATCAGCCATAGAAGACAGCAAGGGCAGGCTACTCATACAAGTGGTAAATGATTAATGAAATCAAAGGAGAGCATATGTGTTGTGTTTTTAATGCAAATTAAAAAAATCATTTACAACAGGTTTGTTCAAAGAACTTTCGTAAAAAAAAAATAATGATTTTTCCAGGAAATACTGTAAACGTATTACATTTGGCTGTGTATTCTATTTAGGGCTTTTGGCGGAGAGAAACTTCCGCTAATTCAAGTACAACGCTAAATGTCTTTCACACACATTCATAACTAAGAATATTGAGAAATGCGCTGAATCAGATTTTTGCTAACTTGTTCAAAAACCAATATCCGCCAAATATTGTACATGCTAAATACAATACATTTACAGTAAATGATAAACTTTATATCATTTGTAAAGAAGGGAGAGGATCTATTCAATATAAAAATTTATTTGTAGTTTGAGGAGAGGATCTCAGGTTCTGTCATCACCCTACCATGGATATTCACTGCAATAGGAGTGGGGGCCTTCATTGTTGCAGGCCTGGCCATTCTGTGGGCGGCCCATTGGTACTGTACCAAACAACACCTAAAACTTCAGCAGGATAACCTGAGTTATGGCAATGTGATGAAGCGATCTCGTCACAGTATTCATCTGTCTTCTACTCACGCTGGGGAGTCTGTAGGACAGGTATGAACAGGAAACACACTGAATTCTGGGGAGATGGGACAATGTGTAATTTTAAACAATTTTAAACAGTTTAAACCAGATAAAGGAAATTTATTTTAAAAACAGTGTTTGAGTGTACAGTTTAACAGTCTGTTTACGTAATTGCAGAATTTTTAAGTAGAATCTGTAGTGTATTGATACTCCTAAAGAAAATCTTTTTAACTCCAAGAATACTGATCATTTGCTTGATAAATGAATGCATCATTATAAAGATTGTATTTCATACAAGTATCATAATGATATTTAATGATTCTTTTGCCTGTCTTACTAGGATGGAGAGGAGACGCTGATGGGGGTACCAGAGGAGCCGGAGGAAGAGGAAGCCGAGAACAGGAAGATGGCCGAGGTCAGGCTGTCCCACCATTTTGAAGACGATGATGACAATGAAGAGAAGGAATTTCTTCCAAAACAGAGGCAGGCCAGCTCTGCCAGGACACACCGTCAGTATGTCAGACAGCACGGTCACAGGAAGAGGCACCCCTCCCTGAATGACCCTCCCTCCTACAACACGGTAATGGACTACCCCAACAGTGACGATTCCGATGGGGAGGGTAACACTCATAAGAGGCAGCTGGAACCTTTGATTGAGGGTAGCCAGGCCAGCATTGACAAGAAATCAGAGAGTTCATTCACATACCAGGAGATGGATGTACGACTATACAGGGGAATCAACCAGCCAGTGCTGCCTGTGGCAAGATCTGATGGTGACATTGAAAATCGCAACTCAGCCAGGCAGAAAGGAAACTATCAGATTCCCCAGTTAGGGAAGTTATCAAGCAGCAAGGCAAGCAGTAGAAGTTCAATCAAAAGAGATGAACCAACTACACCTCAGGAGAACAGCAGAGGTTCAATAAGGAGAGATGAACTACCACCCACACCACAGGAAAACAGCCGAAGTTCACTAAGGAGACATGAACCCATCACTCCTCAGGAAGAGCGAGCTAGGACACCATTGATCGGTGCAGAAGTTTATGATAAGACATCGATGGTTGGGGACAATACTTCTGGTATTGTACAAATGGGGACAGTGAGGGGACCCCCCGTCCAGCCACCCCTGTCACCGGTAGAGCCGGGCACCCCTAAAGTAGACAGTAACCCAATGGATATTCCTCTGACGAGCTTCTCAGGGACTCTACAGAGACAGAAGTCCGGTAGAACCCGTACAACCAGTAAGTTTTTTTTAATTGCCTTACATGTGTACTTTCTATGTGTCATGGATCTCATACAAGTTGACACTTTTTAATGAAAATAAATAAATTCAGATAAAATTCTTTGAAAATGTGTGATTTGTTTCAGGTTTATTCATTGACCCTGAGGCACCAGAAGACAAAGACGTGTTTGAGGTCGAGGACGATGAAGATGATGATGATGATGACATCTTCGCACCTCGTGTTCCCGGCCCCGATGGCAGAAAACGCCATATTTCTGGTGACAGCAGAACCAGGCATCTGTCAGGGGAGAGACACCAGGGGGAGAGGATCAGACACCCATCAGGGGAGGGGATGTATCGGGTCCCCACGGGGAGTAGTCCCGCCCGAGCTCCCCTGGGTAGCAGTCCAGCCAGGAACCCCAATGATGGCAGTCCAGCAAGACAGGGAGCTAAAAGCAGTCCCTCTAGATATCCCGACAACAGATTACGGAATCCCCAGGTGGATAGACATAGACAAAAATCGGGGGATAGGAATAGATATAGTGTAACAAGTGATGGATCCATGTATGATAGCACAGAGATATTTAAAAAGAAAGGTACAGACAATAATTACGAGGATATTGACTCGGACATGGACTTTGAGATTCCTCCCTTGGAGTCAGATGCAGACGTGTTGTCTGATGTGAGTCTTCCATTGCCAAGTCCACCAGCTTTTGTTAAGCAAGCCTCCAAGGAACCCAGATCTCCACTCAGAAGTTTTGCCTATGACGAAGCTCCCACTGCTATGTCACTACCTCTCTCTCCTTTCATGGACTTTAGTATGTATCCTAAAATTTCAAACAGTGCAGATATGTTTGTAATAACAAATATTACTGTAGATTCCTTAATTTTCGCGAGTACTTAATATCGCAAATGGGCTCTTCTGCGTCAAATTGCGAGAATAATAATTCGTGAATGGATGGTTGAAATTTTACATAGATTTCAGCACCATAAAAATAAAGGCGAGAAATTTATTTCACATGTGATGCTTCTCGTGAAATTATGTGATAATTAATTCCACGCGGATATTTAGGAATCTATAGTATTGGATTCTTAGCAAAGAGCTTCTGTATGAATTATATTTTGTTGTTTTATAGGTGGAGGAACATACATCACAATAGCTGCCTCACCTTCTAGTACAGTCAGCAGGACTCAGTTTGTGTTTCCTGACTCTGAGAACCTTCCACCCCCTCCCCCAGACTCACAGCTGAACGGAGGGGAGGCTTCAGGGGAATCCTCTCTTCCTCCCCCTCCAAAGTTATTCCACCCCCCACAGAGGCCCTCCTGGCACAAGACTGTCCCATCCTCAGTCAGAAATGGTGGCCCTGATCATTCCAACTCCAGTAAGAATGGAGGTCCAGAGTATGCCAAGATACAGAGACAGGGAAGTCAGAGAGCGGAACCAGACAACGCTGGACAGAGCGGGGAACCAGCAACAGAGGCTCCAACCAGGAGTGGCAGCGTCAAAAGGAAAAACATTCCAGCAAGGTGGGGTTATTTTCCAGTGTTTTTTTCTTAACTATAGAAAACTAAAAATGCAAATGTAGTATGTAACATTTCTATTTATCGGTACCTTTTGTCTTTATTTCAGACTCCACCTGACCATCGTATGTACCTTGTGTATATTGAGTTTGATTGGAGGAGTGTACAGTAAAGTGAACTCCTCAGGAACCAAGGTCCACATCACGGTGTATGCTCCCAAACATTTCTTCACCCAGAAAATTGAAGTCTTTTTTCATCAAGACAAGCCTGCTTATGTTGTGGACAATCCATACAAAGTTCAGGCTTATGGTCAGTGTCTTTCTAGTTATCATTTTATGTTGATTTGCCTCCTAAAAATTTTTGACAGGACACCATTTATGAAGGAATTAACGGTGTTGGGAACTAGGAAAAGAGACATGTACTGCAATAAAAGTGCACTACAGGTTTTTACAAGAATCACCAGTGAAGAACATTGTATGTTAAAAATCACAAGTTAGATATTAAAAATAGAGAATTCAGTGAAGTAACTAAGTCTTTGCTGAAGTTTTTTTTTTTTTTGTCAGAAACACATGGATGTAATTGAGTGTTTTGTTTGACTTTCAGATGTTAAGGAACCTAAGCTGGAGAACTTGAACTCATCCAAGTGTTACAAATCTCTGTGTCCCCAGGGCTGTGACGAGGATACTGGGCAGTGTATCTGTAAGAAGGGGTACCGACCAGACTCACATAACAAATGTCAAGGTAAATGGGATTAACTGCAGGTCCTTGTTTTCCATTGTCAATATGACACCTATCCAAATTATGAGAGTGTTTATAAAATCATTAATATAGCCATTGAATGGTTCAAAATGAATTTTAATCCTTAAAAATCTGTTTGATGCTAGTGTATCTGTCTGTTTAAAATTTAGATTTTGAATTGTCTAATTCCATCATTGTATACTGAATTTTTATTCCTTCGCCCACAGATGTGAACGAGTGTAGAGATGGTTCCTTCCTGTGTCACGAGGATGCAGGGTGTCTCAATATGATTGGTTCTTATTACTGCATCTGTAGCCCTCCCTTCTATGGAAACGGGAAGTCTTGTGAGGGTTAGTGTCATGGCAACATTTAGCTATTGAGAAAAAAGAAACAACTAAATGTAAATTTTAAATTTTAAATCTTAATTTTCATGTATATCATCCCTTAACCAGATGGATTCCTATATCAAGAAAATTCATATAACTTTTTCTTTCAGAGTGTAATGCCCCTTGCAGACCAGGAACCTATCAGAAGGGATCTTGTGGAAACAATCAGCAAAAACAGTGTATTGGTAAAGTTCTGTTTTTACATTGCAATAGAATACATTTTAGGAAGTTTGTAGATGTATTGCAGTCCAAGTAAACTCAGAAGAGGAACTCAAATGTATGTCCATTGTTTTTGTAGAGTGCACTGATCAGTGTGAGAAAGGATTCTACATGTACAGTAAATGTGGGAAAATGGATGACGCTAGTTGCCGCAGTAAGTTACCTCAGTTTTAACATATATTAAACAATACAACAGTTTGTAAACAAAGCATTCACTCACAGAAACACTAATTCAAAACAAAGAGTTAACAATGTATTGGATAACATCCATTTGTTTTATATTCAGTGTGCCAGGGAGAGTGTTTGGATAATCAGTATGAGTACCAGAGATGTACACAGTCGCAGAACAGAGTCTGTAAAGGTAGGTATCAGAAAACTCCACCTCTGCATCTAGAGTAATCAATCTTTTAGAAATATAAATTAGTTTCAACCATTTCTGCATTACAACTATGACATACAAGTAATAGAACTTTCCTGGTATTTCTAGGCAGGGGGGATCTGAAGCCACCCATGGTCAGTGGAAATGTTATTGTGGAGGACCGAGATGATACCTATAAGAATGACATGACAACGGTCCGTCACAGAGAGAGTGCCCCCGGCCAGAATACCCAGGCCTTCATGTTCTCTAAGGGTAAGTCTCACTGGCCACTAGAGCGAGAAAGAGAGATTTCTAATGACAGAACTCTACCATTGAGCCGCCTTTCTAGTTTCAGTTCAGCTTGAATTATTTTGCTATACCATAACAGTTTTAAATTGAGATTCCCCCAACATGCTTTTAAAAGGAGTTTTATCCTTTATATGTTTAATGTATTGTACATGTTCTCTATTGTTTCAGGGTCTGGATTTTACATTGAGGTGGCCTTGAAGTACCTTCACCCTGCCCCAATGTTTTCTCCTGTCAATCACTCGCGTCAGAACGAGCTGGACAGCTTCAAAGGAGATCAATCTGTGTTGACCAGATATTGTCCTTATCCAATGCCAATAAAACATGAACTGTACTACAAAACCCATAAGGTAGCAGTTATAACCATATCATCAACAAAGAAAAATCATATGCAAATATAACTTTCTTCCTTGCTATTTCCATACTTTAGTTTTATTTCCAATTATTGCTTTTAAAATTCCAAATTTGCAAGTTTCATTGGCATGCTTTATTTATTTCTAAAAATCTTCACATTTATTCTAAGATTCATCATAATAGAACCCTGAAGCTATACATGAAATGCTTTTCATTCTCAGGGAATTTAATCATTCTCACCCTTATTTACAGAACATAACTTACAAGGAGAGACAGAGATACGGACACACCCAGATCAAGCCCTGCACCACCTACACTCAGCATGGACAGTACCCCCCTCAGGACAGCACCACCGAGGGGTCCATCATGTGCTCTGAGCCCGGTCCAGTCAGCAGTGTATTCTCTGTACTAGACTCCCAGTTCACCACCAGCACATCTACATGGGTAGAGAAGTCTGAAAGGTCAGTGTAGGAAAGAAGCTGATTAAAATATAGGGATGTGCGATTTTATCGGTATACCGGTATATCGCGATTTTTTGTTGCGTGATACATATCGTGATACGGAGACCTAAATGCATGTACCGGTCTTTAGGTACATATTATAAAGTCCAGAAATTATTCATTTAATTGTTCAATCTTTCAAATTACAATTACAGAAAGTATAAAAAATGTTGTAAAACGTGAAAAGAACGGCGTCTTACCGTCCAAACATAATTGATTTTATAAATTCAAGAAAGTAAAATTTTGTTTTTCAAGCATATTTTTTAGAAAAATAATGACTTTTCCTATAAAATCATTGTAAAAACTTCTTTTAAAAATATCATGATATTATCGTGATATTGTCGGAAAAAATTGTGATATATGGCGATACGCAAATGTTTGGCGATACCCATCCCTAATGGCCTATTAAAATAGATCTTCTTGTTGTTTAAATTAGTTATCAATTAGTTATCAATTTTGACAATGATGCTCCTTAATGTTTTTACTCTTTTGCACACTTCTTACTCAGTAATGGACTTTTTAGGTGCTTTATATGAAATTGCTATATTTGATCACACATATTCAATGTTCAAGATATCAAAGTATCACTGTTTGTCTTGCATTGTTTTTTTCAGCTGTCTGTTGAGTAATGCTGCCTGTTTGAACTGTACGCGACACTGTGCCAAACAGATGCTGTTACAGAGGGGGGAGTGCTCTATCTCCGGGGGAGATAACGGCCAGTCCCCCCGTCTCCCAGAATGCTTCACATGTTGTACCCAGAGTAACTGTAGCGATGTCTGCAAAACGTATCACGACTACATCTGTCAAACGGAAAGGTTCAGAATGCTAAATCTACCTTGTCTTTTCTACTGTACTATATGCTTATATAGAAGTAATTTTTAACTTCATAGTTTTGCATCAAAACTTTAATTTTCCAATAATAATACTGGAGTGCAATATATATGAAGAAAGGGTTGGCCTTGACACAAAACCAAGAACATGTTGACTGTAGAAGTACAAATTTCCTTAAAACTTTGTGAATGCAGTCTTGTTTAGATCTTGTCGTAATATAAAAAATTTCATGCTAATGCGAATGTTGTATTTTCTCCTTTTTTAGATGCAAACAAGGAGACCTAATTGAGTTTAAACTTAAACCTGTGTACCATCCCAAAGATGACTTTTTGTGTCACATGACACCATTACCCAATCAGAAACTTTTAGAGCTGGAGTATACAATCAAACACTACTATAACACACTAATGACTCAGAGCTTTACCATATATGGAGATGAGATGTGGCAGAAGTTTGGGAAATTGAAATCAGAGTAAGTTTGAAAGAGGTTTTATTTCATACAATTTTATTGCAAAGTTGAATCAGGGATAATCAAGTTAACTTAAGACCTGAGGCAGTGAGTATCCAAATTTTATATAGAATGAAACGAGTGAGGAATTTTTCAAAACAGAATGCAAGTTTTAACATTAAACAAAAACTACCCTTGTCGTCTATCAAGTTTGTCTAAACCAGGATTCCTTAGGATAAATAAAGGTATCCATTCTTACATAGAAATGCATGAATTAGAAAGGATTTACTTGTTTGCAAAACCTTAAGAAATGTTAAATCTTTCACAGCAAACACATTGTTAAAGTGGAGGTAGAGTCTATGTTAGACATCATTCCTGACATTATTGAGGGGTCACCGGGTCAGAGAGATGTCACCGTGGGGAAATACAAAACCTCGGGGGAAAGTGTCAGAAGTTCCTACATACAGGGATCTACAGCTCCAGTGAGGCCAACCAAACCATACATAGAGACTTCAAAGACATTCGGTAAGTTACACTGAGACATCAAGGCATATTGAACAAATCAGAGAGACATTCAATACATTTGGTAAAATATAAATCAAATATTACATTGAGACCTCACAAAGAAACCCAGTAAGAGACATCGAAAACTTTTGGTAATAGATCAGTCAAACCATATCAGGACATTAAAGACATTAGTAGTTTGAGATTATATAGAGACATTAAAGACATTGGTTAGAGATTATAGAGACAGTAAAGACATTTAGTAAGAGACAATTTTAGCCTGACATAGAGACATGTAGGGCCTTAGATATTTGCTAAGAGATTATATGAAGACATTTTATAAGAGATCAATCAAACCATAACTTATGACATTTGGTAAGAGATTATATATAGACATTTGGTTTGAGATTTACATAGAGACATCAAAGACATTTAAAAATCTAAAAATGAAGTAATAGACCAAACAAATCATACATAGAGACATCAAAGACGTTAATTCGAACTGACTTTTTACCTTTATTTATTTGATCAGGTAAGAAGCATTGTGATGATGATGCATTAGAGAACTTGATCTCCATCAACTCTGGAGAACCGTACACACATCTACAGACTCTACAGGGTCGTTACCTAGGGAACTACACCTATGTCATCACTAACAGCACCGCCCAATCACTGGTCAAGATCGGGGTCGCTAAACATGCCTCCATATTGTCCTCCTTGTATCCAGGGGCAACACTGAAAGAAGGCAGTATAAAAGGGAACATTTCCCATAATTCCACACACTGGAATCTCAATGTAACTGGAGAAGTGGTGTCATGCCCAGGTATATAAGAGGGAAAGAAAAGGGAAAAAAAATGCTATTATACATGTTGGTATCATATTTTCCTTGACTTGTTATTGATGGCACCAAAAAAGTTGAAAACCTTTATACATTTCACTATAACTACTACACTATCAAATAAAAAGAAAATTAATAACACTTTGAGAGAAGAAGCAAGAAAAACTACCAGATCCAAAGTTTGTTCTATTATAAATTCTTGTGCAGGTAAAGGCTATTTTCTACTATTGTTTTCTTTCAGGTATTCTGAATGTAAACATCACTGACCCTGATTACCCCAATCGACCTCTGTACCAGTATGACATACAGGTCAAGTGCCCCCCTCACTTCTCCCTAGTGTTTTCTGTCCCCAGCGGTGATGCCTCGAGGTTTAACAAGCAGTTCATCATCTCTGTCAAGGACAACCTTAGGAAATCACAGCTACATGTGTACAGAGCCAGTGCCAGTCAGCTCAGCTCTTGTAAGTTATAGCAACTTCTTTATTTTAATTTATCCATTAGTGTATACAAGAATAACTGAAGCATATTAGAAATGTTTATTTTTAGCTCTACTGGTCAGAGACCAGAAGAGCTTATGCGATAGTAATGCGTCCGTCGTCCGTCCGTCTGTCTGTCTGTCCGTCTGTCTGTCTGTCTGTAAACAATTTTTCAAAATGCTACTCCTCCTACAGTTTTGGTCCGATTTGGCACACAAGTAGACAACACTGAGATACATAATTTTGTGCATCGGTTTTTGATTTCGATGAACGGTGTTGCCGTGGTTACTAAAAATAGAAATTTCTGTGAAATTCTTTCAAAATGCTACTCCTCCTACAGTTTTGGTCTGATTTCAATATAACTTGGCACAAAAGTAGACTACACTAAGATACATAATTCTGTGCATCGGGTTTTGATTTCGATGAATGGTGTTGCCGTGGTTACTAAAAATAGAAATTTCTGTGAAATTCTTTCAAAATGCTACTCCTCCTACAGTTTTGGTCTGATTTCAATATTACTTGGCACACATGTAGACTACACTAAGATACATAATTCTGTGCATCGGTTTTTGATTTCGATAAACGGTGTTGCCGTGGTTACTAAAAATAGAAATTTCTTTGAAATTCTTTCAAAATGCTACTCCTCCTACAGTTTTGGTCTGATTTTGATATAACTTGGCAAATAAGTAGTCTACACTAAGATACATAATTCTGTGCATCGGTTTTTGATTTCAATGAACAATGTTGCCATGGTTACTAAAAATAGAAATTTCTGTGAAATTCTTTCAAAATGCTACTCCTCCTGCAGTTTTGGTCTGATTTCAGTATAACTTGGCACACAAGTAGACTATACTAAGATACATAATTCTGTGCATTGGTTTTTATTTTGATGAGTGGCAAGGATCATTTTTCTATTTATTGCTGATTTAAAGTCTCAAGTCCCAACTGCTACTTTTCTCTTCCTTTGTTTTAAGTATAAACCAGTAGAGCTACAGTCTCGACAGAGACTTCTGGTTTTTCAGCTCTACTGGTCAGAGACCAGAAGAGCTTATGCGATAGTAATGCGTCCGGCGTCCGTCCGTCTGTCTGTCCGTCTGTCTGTAAACAATTTTTCAAAACGCTACTCCTCCTACAGTTTTGGTCTGATTTCAATATAACTTGGCACACAAGTAGACTACACTGAGATACATAGAATAGTGCATCGGTTTTTGATTTCAATGAACGGTGTTGCCATGGTTACTAAAAATAGAATTTTCTGTGAAATTCCTTTAAAACGCTACTCCTTCTACAGTTTTGGTCTGATTTCAATATAACTTGGCACACAAGTAGACTACACTAAGGTACATGGAATAGTGCATGGGTTTTTAATTTCGATGAACGTTGTTGCCATGGTTACTAAAAATAGAATTTCTGTGAAATTCCTTTAAAATGCTACTCCTTCTACAGTTTTGGTCTGATTTCAATATAACTTGGCACACAAGTAGACTACACTAAGATACATAGAATAGTGCATCGGTTTTTGATTTCGATGAACGGTGTTGCCATGGTTACTAAAAATAGAATTTTCTGTGAAATTTCTTAAAAACGCTACTCCTTCTACAGTTTTGGTCTGATTTCAATATAACTTGGCACACAAGTAGACTACACTAAGATACATAGAATAGTGCATCGGTTTTTGATTTCGATGAACGGTGTTGCCATGGTTACTAAAAATAGAATTTTCTGTGAAATTTCTTAAAAACGCTACTCCTTCTACAGTTTTGGTCTGATTTCAATATAACTTGGCACACAAGTAGACTACACTAAGGTACATGGAATAGTGCATTGGTTTTTAATTTCGATGAACGGTGTTGCCATGGTTACTAAAAATAGAATTTTCTGTGAAATTCCTTTAAAACGCTACTCCTTCTACAGTTTTGGTCTGATTTCAATATAACTTGGCACACAAGTAGACTACACTAAGATACATAAAATAGTGCATTGGTTTTCAATTTCGATGAACAGTGTTACCATGATTACTAAAAATAGAATTTTCTGTGAAATTCCTTTAAAACGCTACTCCTTCTACAGTTTTGGTCTGATTTCAATATAACTTGGCACACAAGTAGACTACACTAAGATACATAGAATAGTGCATCGGTTTTTGATTTCGATGAACGGTGTTACCATGGTTACTAAAAATAGAATTTTCTGTGAAATTCCTTTAAAACGCTACTCCTTCTACAGTTTTAGTTTGATTTCAAAATAAGTTGGCACACAAGTCGACTACACAAAGATACATAAAATAGTGCAATGGTTTTTGATAAGTACAAACCAGTAGAGCTACAGTCTCGACAGAGACTTCTGGTTTATATCACCTGAAAAAATTATAAATAAGTTAAAATTGTAATTACTTATAACATGATTTAAATGCCACAAGAACTTGGAAATACATTTATTTTACTTTAGACCTTAGTTATTAATTTATATTTTATTATTTCTGCTCCCTGCAAGGACTTGTGTACAGTATATTAATGATATTCTGTCCTCTATTTACAGTGAGAGGTCGAGAGTCCCAGTCTGTGCACTCTACAGAAGCAGTTGTCCCCCCTCATTTCTCCGTCCCATTCATCGTATCAGTCTGTGGAGGTGTACTTCTACTTATATTTGTCTCCACTGTTGGAATCGTTGTCAAATTTGGTAAGAATATGTCGAAGTAGAAGTCCATTCTACAATTACCATTGTTAGAAAAATTGAGTTGTTTCTCGTTATTTCGGAAAGGGTATAGTGAAGAAACATGTTTCTCTTCTTTACACTACCAGACATTTGAGTCTGCTTGAATATTATCTCTGCATTTAGTTTCTTTCAATGTATAGCTCTCCCCATCTAGGAGAAATTAAAATAGATGTGCAAAAGTGTGAATTCAGTTATGTATGTATTTCCTATATGAAACTTACAGGTCAGCCATTAGGGGACGTGCTCCAGTTCCGCTGGTGTCACCTGGTCCTGATGGTGTTTTACGTGACATTCCAGTTTATATACGCTGCCTGTGTGTCCATCACAGTCTTCTATCTGATCATCATAGCCAGTAACAGGTAAACACCAAAACATTACTGTAATGTATACATAATGAGGTTAATATATTTTGCAATATTGTGTGTAATATGAATGAACAAAAGTTTTTAATATTCACAATAAATTAAATAAATTGGATCATATAATTAGGAGAGTCTAGTTTGCAATTGCAATGTTGTTGCAGATGATGAAAATTTTGAGAAAATTATCTTAAAGCTACAATCTTACTTTACAAGCAAATTAGCATGCATCTCATCGCATTCTTAATCATTTTCTAATCACCTTGCTTACTGAATGTTTTCAGTGACACTACAGCATTTCTTAAGAACTACCAACACCAGCGCTCTGTAAAGACGGCTTTCAGTAACTTGGAGCTGGACCACCTACAGCGCCATCTACAGGTGGAGCTCCAGCGACAAAGGGAGATAGCTGCTGCCTCCAAACACCAGTGTCAAGTCAAGATGAAGAGGGTCGTCAAGCAGTTTAATGATGTAAGTACACCTAATCAAATATCAGAGAACTTTGATGTTTCTTATGTATTTACCTGTGTTTTTACTTGTAGTTAAGTAAATTTTAGATTTTTAAAATGACATTTTGATTCCAGATGAACAGCTTGCTGGAGAAGGAAGTTAAGGACCGGATAATGGTAGAGAATATCAAAAATCTGTTGTCACGACACACAGAGGGCCTTATACAGGACTTCACAAGCAATCTCAACAACTACAAGTAAGTCTCGGGGCTCGCTCTTCTTGTAGGAAACCAGAATCTTTCCCCCATTTTACCAAGTATTCTGAATTGTTCCTAATCTCATTGACATTCTTGCATGACAAGCCAAGCTAAAACCTCTGAAATGAATTTATCAAATCTTCAAAAATATTTGGAAGGTATAAAATATGCATTCTCAACAAATCTTATTTTATTATAGAGCATTTTTTAGCAGCCATGTGAGCTCAAATTCAATTTTCTTATTGTCAATTATTTGTTTTTCAGACATGGCTTTTCATTTTCAAACATGACATTTATATACATGTAGGTCCATGCAATGCTGATGTGATCTAGTAAAAAAATGGGGGATTCTTTATGCTTCACATCAATTTTTCTTTAAATGCTTCAGATTGCCTTTGCATGAAGCACATTTGGTTAACAATCCTCACAATTTAATGCATTTACTAGTATTTCAGCATGTGTAAACTAAAAGAGAAGGGACTAGAGACTTCCAAACATTAAGTAGCGTAGATTTCAGTTGGTTTATATGGTGTTTTAACATTATTCAAAATTTAACATGGGTCTTGGTTTTGGGGACTTACACTTTGGTTAACATTTGAAGAGTACAGAATGATCAAAGTAGAGATGTACATGCAATAAACACTAAATTACATGTTAGAAATTATATGTTTCATTTCTTTTGACAATGTTATAATTAGCAGACATCAGATATTGTGTTGATATTAAATCTTTGATAAGCATTGACAATTAACTCTTTTCCCACTAATGCATTACATCCTTTACCCCCTGATGCCACCATTTGACGCTATGCCCCATTTCCCTGATGCCACCATTTGACACACACACACAACAACCCTAAATTAGCTCTGTGATTTCCCCTGTTTCTAAATAAATTCAGATTTCTAAATGATAGCCAGTCATGTGTATTACACATTAGGTAATGTTACTATAATTAGTGAAGTCACAGCTTGGTGTGAATTCACTTGAGATTTACCTGTGTGAAAACAATGGCACCCAGTCTGTTTACAAGAAGAAATTGGGCCTTGTCACAAGCAAAATTCAGCCTTAATATTGCATTTTATGTAACATACATTGGATTGTATTAGCATTCACAATGTTTTTACATCAGTTCTAAAGTTGAATTTAATAGAAATAAAATTTTACAATGAAAATTAGAGGAAGAACATCATAGACTTTTTAACAAGAACAACAATGGCGGCCACAGATTTCCCATGCGTTTTATGAGTACTAAATAATCTACTTTCAGCATTTTTTTCATCAGGGCATTGATTTAGATAAAAACATGTATTAATTTATTTCCCCAAGACTTTTCAAGAAGTGTCAACTAAATATATAAAATATTTATAACCATACCTGCTTGAACATGATTGTGAAGTTTAGTTGGCTCAAGTCTAAGATAATTACCTATCATTATTAATCTATCTTTTTAATATTAATTAAACAAAAAATAATGAGCCTTTTTAATTGGTTTGGTATTATATTTTAAGTTTACTGGTATATTTTATAGAAACTTTCTCTCATACAAAGGATAATATGAAGATTAGTTGTGAAAAATTCATTTTACCTGGTTTCACCTATATATTGTTAATTGTAGATTAATTATTCTTAGAAAATTATATGACAATACTAAAGTTCAATCCATTCCCCAAACATTGATATATAATATGTGACACTTTGATGATGTTTAGGTATTTAATTAGCATGTTCTAATTGTAATGGTCAGTCATTTCAAGTCAGTCAAAATGCTTCAGGGGGCAGCCAGATAAACACTCTAGGGAAATCGCAAGTGCGTCAAATGGTGGCAACAGGGGGAAAAGAGTTAAGGTATCATTGATTGTAAATTTCCAGAGAGCATTACAAGAGTTATATAAAGCATACAAAGAAGGTGTTTGCTGCCAATATTGAGGAGACGTATCGTAGCGTGGAGAGGAGTAAATGGCTGGCCGGCCCCGACTTCCTCCAGAAGGCCGTCAAGAACTTCCGAGACCTAGATAGTCTGCCTACGAAGCCGTTCATGGAGTGGTTAGGGATTCCTCAGGACCTGACACAGATCTCAGGAGGTAGAGAAAACTGATGTTGATGTGGCCATGTGTTAACTGACTTGAAAATTCTATAAATTATCAGTAAAATGTTAACTGTGTTCTTGATAAATGTATATAACTGATACTTTTTATGTACTTTTTCACAAGCCTCAGGGTTCATAAATTACCATCTCAAGCAATGCCTATTTCAAGTTATGATAACTGTCAAATGAAATGGTAGACTACTAGGTAGTTTATGTATTCATACAGATGATGTCTCCATCCCCCTTCCCCAAACTCCAAGGCTGTCTAAGGTTTTCAACTCTGGCTCCCATTCCTCTGGTCAAGCTGACACGGTTAACTTCAACAAGCCAGAGAGGACTGTCCACAAACACAACATGTGGTTCTTTGCTGATGATCCATTCAAAGCTAAAGAGAACCAGACAAGGTCACAGACAGGTCAAGGTCATGCCACAGAAAAAGAGCCGCGGTCCAGTAATTACACAGGATTCTTTTTCGTGATGGCTGTGATTGACATTATGTGGTTCCTTCACCGGATCCTCAAGTCTCTCGGGGTGGCCAAGCTGCTGTTGTATGGGTATCCTATATTTGTGGGGATCAGGGAGAAGACAAGTGAGTTCCTGAAGATAATAATCACTGGAAAAGACACCCAAGCTTTCACAAAATTAGTCAACAATAAATGGTCAAAATCTTTAGATGTTTAAATCCAACATTAAATTTCTTTCCCATTTTGCTATTTTCCATGTTTCTCTATACTGTGCAATCAGACACCCTGTCTATTCCGACACAGAATTTGTCTCCCAGTGCATGTCAGATTAGACAGATTTCATTGTACAGTGTATTTCTTTCCATTGATATTTTATGGTCAGGGTTCTTGTTGGAATACATCTGAATTATTTTTGATTTACAGATGAGAGAAACCCTGATGGTTCTGCCAGGAGACAGAGTCAAATCTTCCAGTCAGGGGCCTCCAAAACATTCAAAAAATTCTTCATTAAGGTCAGTGTAATTTATATACCAGTACACATGTATTTTACATAAGCAAAAGAAACTCAATAACTCAGTTTCCTTTAAAGATATATCTTTATTATAATTATGTACATATCAACTATATGTTTTACTGATTTTTTTTCAGACACTGTCTAGTATGTTTGTGCCAAAAGTCATTGCCACCATTTTTGTGTGTCTGTTCATCTATCTCATTTCCGTGACAACATTCCATTTCGTAAATAGGGAGACATTTAGCTACCTTGGGTATTATAACAATATGGTAAGTGTCTCAGAATTTTTTCACAGTACAAGTACAAGTTATTGTCACTTTTCTCTGAAAAAACTTCTGTTTACTGACAATAATTTTATCTTTCTCTTCATCAGGATGATCTCCTGAAGCTGAATGAGGACTTTGTGAATCGCCGGATCGAATCTCAGGCCAGCAGAATCAACACTATGGAGTACCCTACCTATCAGGAGTTAATGAATATGTATGTACAGCGCCACCTATACTTACACCGCACCATAGAGAGCCAGTGGCACCACCTACAGGAAGCCCACAGCGGCTTCTACTGCCGATACAAGCAGAGTCTGGAGCCTAACGCCAAATGTAGTGATCCTCTACAATCCAGATTTGGGGACAAGGATATAGAAGTGTGCCATTTTGAACAAATTGAACCCAATTTTTATTCAAAGTAAGGCTTTAGTATTGTCATAAGATTACCAGCTGTCTTGTTATAAATTTTGCTCTAAGAAAGATATTTGGAAATTAATCAAACTAGTTTGATAAGTGCTCATTTCATAATGGGCCTATATTGTAAAGATATTCTAGCTGGTACTCATTTCACTATATGTTGTAGCGGCCATGTCTCTGACTCCTCCGTGGCAGAAATACAAATGGATGCCTTCCTGACCAACATCAGAAAACTGATCTCAGATACCTGCTATATATTACTCATCTACATGTCTGTCATCATCATCAAAGAACTCCTCGGCACCGTCATCTGGCTCTATCTAAAGAGGTGAGTGGCCGATGACTTAAAGTCTATGTTAGTACTTGATTTATAGATTGCAGGTGTTACAAACTTTCATTTTGCAAAACCTTACAAATCACTGATGTATCATTATCAGAAGTATGTACTACATTATTAAGCTTGCAACTAGTCCTTGTGATTTTCCATCTTTAACTATTTTCATTGTAAACAGGTCAGCATTTATAAACCTGAGATTGATCTATGAAGCTGACAAACCCCCGCCCACTGCCACTGGGAGAGAGAGGTGATCTTTGGAGAGGACTTATGATAGATGACCGGAGAGGACTGGTTATAAACGTTTTACGATGACTGGTGATAGATGTTCTGAGATGAATGAGGATGTCAGTTAGATGTGATCATAATTAATGTATGGTTACTCCTTAAAGTACTGAACAATATAAGGTTTTAATTCAATTAAGAAGTAAATATCTGGAAAGAGTAGAAATTCTTTCTATTTGAATTGACTGTTACGTGCTTTTGAAGCATGCATTTTTCTAAAGATTTACATATTACACTGCAACAACATTTGTAAGAGGAGTGCATGCAGTTAGTAATCTTAGTACATATTGTGCATTTAAAGTACAGATGAGTACATTGCAGAATAAAATATGTGTGAGTGAAAGAAAAGTCATGAATAAACAATTCCTTTGTGAGTTATGACATTGATAGCTTTACTGTTTATGTTGATTTGTTTACTGTTGCTTGAGATCTCATATATTGTTTGAAAACCAGAAATGTGTACTTATTTACTTCACACTGAGGGCATAATATTTCATTAGCAGTCTTCATTTTTGTTTGTTTCCACCTTTTACACCATACCAAAATCATGAAGCAGAAGGATAAAATTTGAAGTACCAGAATTAATATTTTAAATTTTGCTTGAAAATTAAACAAAATTGTGTTGTTAATTTCTTATATGTTACCAGAAGGTGCTTGTTATGTTTCAATGTTTATAAACACCACCATAAAGTTATATGTGTCTGTGATATATAATTTTTTACAACAGGTCAGTTAAAAAGTATGTTTTAGTGGAATGTTTCAATGATAATTTTGTTTTTGTTTTTAAATTTTAAATTTGTCATATAAAAGACAATGCTTTAAAAAGATGGTAATATTAAATCTTTGGAAACATTAATGTAGCTGTAAGAAGTAAACCGTAGCAAACTGAATCAATTACTTTGTAAAAGTTTAATCTGCAATGAAATTTTTTTTTAAGATTAATGTAAATTTGTTTTTGTAAGCATGGGAGTGCATTTATTGTGTAACACAGTTCCTAATATGTATTCTTATTTTTATTTTATCACAAAATTAAACATTGGAGTTAATGTTCTTAGTACTTACAATATATTTTTTTTTATTTACCTAAAATAACTTGAAACCATTAATACCTTGCATAGTGTAAGAAATTATTAATTAATGATGCATTACATTAGCAACATAAAGTTAGGTTTGATAACCAGAACTTTTCTGTATAATGAAATAAAGAGGTATATTTTGATGTGTGATAAATTTAAATGGTATACTTAGACTTGTACTTAAAACTAGTCATAATATAAAGCCAAGGAACAAATTAAGCTATATAAGGAGGTACAGTCATACATTTGGTGCATTTTGAAACTTCCAATTTTTACAGTAGTCTAGCTTTACATACAGTGTGTTCATGATGCTATAAATTCTTTCCATAGAAATGGAAGGTGTTCACACATAAAGGTGTTTAAATATTGTTGGGTTTGACCTCATTAACTGTTGAAGGTCAGTTCAATTCACAAGATGTTTTTGAAACAATTTAAATTGACCAGTGAATTTAGAATATAATTTTATAACACTTTGATAAATTTAGTTATAGAGGCACCTTATATATTGCTCATGGAAAGCTTTAATTGCCAGATTTATAATTAGCTTTGTTACTAGTATTATAAATTTTATTCCACCAAAGTTTATTTTTTAATCTTGTAGTAGTGATCTTTTAATGCAGCTTGCCTGGATAAAGTAGAATAGCAGTTATCGTTAATTGTTATTTAGTGTGTGATCACCCACATAATGTGTTTTATTTTTATGTCACTACATCTCAACTATAGAAGCAGAGATTTAGATGATTTTTTTTAATTTTAAAAAATATTGATTTCTAGCATAGTTAGTGCTTTTAAGATATATTTTTATGCATTCAGGAAGAAGCAAATGTTTAATTTTGTTAAATTGTATGATCATTCAAATGGTTGTCCTTTTTTAAAAGATGGATGTTTTACAGATATTGCATTTGTAGTATATTTTTTGTTTTGATACATATGTAAAACGTATATCATGGTCACACTTTATTACCAATGGGTTGTAATTTTGTATCAGATCATGTATTATTATTTTAATTGATTACTGCGGTTGTGTCATGATACATTTGGGACATTTTTAGATGATACCTTGTGTTATTGCTTTATGTAACACTTGTATAACATTTATAATATTTTGCTTAGATTGTGTCCTGATACATTTGTGACATTGTAGATGATACGTTGTGTTATTGTTTTGGGTGACATTGCTGGTTGTGATCTCAGTTTCTATCGGCACAATAAACAAAGAAAATATTAATACAAAGAGTTCGAGTTTACTTTCTTTAGAAGATACATGTACAGGACTTGGTGGAATTTAGACATTTACAACAGCATATGGTATTTTGATGACTACTCAAATGTTGCCAACATAAACGAATCTGAAGCATGTACATGTACATGTATTTCACTTTTGAAGATGTCTATCCCTGGAATTAAAATGATAAGGATGACAATGACAATACAAGCAACTGTAATGGTTTCAGGGGTGAGGGATAATTGACAGGCAGAAATGTTATGAAAGAATTCTGATAAGGAAAGAAAATATGAAATTGGCCACACTCAGTAGAAAGTGCCTGTTGTGACAGAAACTTTTTTCCATGTGTTTCTATATTCACGAGTTGAAAAGTTCCTTCTTTATTTTATTATAACTGAACCACACCCCCATCGCGCGCGTTTGAAAAGTGGGAGGGTATATAGTGATATAGTCCGTCCGTTAGCGTATATCTGTAACACTTTGGGGTACCCATCTATTATCCGCAGTTCTTCTTGTATCATTGAATGAAATTAATGGGACGTTCACAGAATCTTTGTTACATAGGGTGCCATTGTGCACTTCCTATTTTACTTTTTGATCCAGCACATAATTTGAGTTACCATTGGCAAAACATGCATCAACGCTGTCAATCTTTAATATTGAAGGGAATCTTTATCCACAACTCCTTTTTTCCACTGAATAAATTTTAAATTTCACAGATTCTTTATCAAGTTGTGCCATTTAATTACTTTTTGATCTGTAACTTATATTTCGGGTCTCCCATGAGCTATATATGGACTTTGCCATAATAATCACATGGGAGGCAGGAAAGGAAGGGGGGGGGGTTCATTTAGTGAGCTCGGTGCTCACAGTGCCTCTAGTCTCGTATGAGTTGAGAAAAATTTGTATAAATGTGGTTTATACCTGTTACCAATCTCTGTAGCGTGAGTACAAATATATATATATATATATATATATATATATATATATATATATATATATATATATATATATATATATATATATATATATATATATATATATATATATATATATATATATATACTCTGAATATACATGATTCTAAATCTACTAAATCTATCATTAACAAAAAAAGAGTTAAGGAAACAAAAAGAATGCACAGTAAGTTACCACAAGGAAAGGGAAGAAGTTTAAGAAACACAAAAATATTCCTTCTATAGGGAAATTCTTCAAGTTCTTTGATCCGCCCACCCTAACATTATATTGCTTGTACTTGTATTGTTTTAAAGGGAGAAACTGATTGTTTAGAGATATGTGATATCTAGTCCTTCACATTCAGTCGCCAAACAATGAACGTAGTCTTCAGGTGTAACCGTTTTCAGTGGTTACCAGACTTTGAAGTCGCCATTAATGACATTAACAAACTGGTTCGTATGAAATTTATTTTGAATCATATACGCTCACAGAGAAAATTTTTCAGGAAATACATTATTTTAAAAAAGTGCATTTTTAAATATGTTTCCGTGATGTGGTGAAGAACGAACTTCCTGCAAAGAGCTGATACCAGGCGAATTCAATAAATTTATCAGAAAAATAGCAAGATAAACGAAAATTCTAAAATATTCTTGAGGATTTTCATTTTTATTTCTATCAACATTTTTAGAACTTTAAGAATTTTGTATATTGAAAATTTTTGGTAAATTAAACATAGTATTTTTTAATATATAGCAAATAATTTCGGCACATTTCAAATAATGGTGTCCAAACACTTTCCAGTGTACTAAATTGTTTCCTTCAAAGTGAATCGATGAAGGGGGCAAGATTAGCCTCATCCTGTTGGTCTCTCATTTTCTTTACGTTGACGTGTGGGCACACACACTGATACAGGAGAACTGGTTTTTGTTCTAATTTAGAAAGGGGGGAGGGATTTGCCTAGTTTCTCTTTAAAAAGACTTAATGTTTTAATGCATAACAAAAAAGACTTTTACCCTTTCAATGTAAATCAAAGTTCAAGGTAATTTCAAGTTGATGAGATTATCGGTATATAACATCCCCTCGTCATATCCTCATCTCAAATACCAAAATTTTAAACTTTAAAGTAAATGATAAAAAAAAAATATAGAGAAGACTCTTGTTTAATGATAAAATCAAAGTAGAGAGGTAACAAGCAAAATTCGGGGGTAGACACATGTATCAACAAGGCTTTCTTTTACTCTCCTAAACCCCTCGAACCGTATTGAAAATAAAGAGCCATTTTTTAACCACATTTATTAATGATTTCAAACTCTAGTACAGTGTACATAGAAATGGAAATATTCAAAAAATTTGTCTTTGTTCAATTTGATTACTTGCAGACGTATATAGATAGAACGCCCATGGGTAATAGCCCGTCCGTCGAGGTCTACATTACGTCAGCTGACGTTGCCAGCGGTGACGTAGTTGGGTTCTTTTGTGGACACGGAAACCAGGGTCGTCTCAAAAGTAGACCTGTGCCGAACCTTAAAGTTCCAGGCTTCAAGAAGAAAGATATCATCAAAGAGAAGGACCTGAGGAAATTCGAAGAAATAGATAACCATGCTTTACATGTAAGGGATCACTCAGGCTCTGGGTCAGGGATTAGTATACCTTCTACATCTGAATCTATAAAAAGGGATTATTTAACCCCTATGAAAATTGTCCCCCTTAGTTTTGCCAATACAGTGTATACATGTATGTGTCCTCAGTAATGCTACTAGTATTGTCTGAAGACATGAGGGATTGAGTGGGAACGTTCAGAAATCAATACGATGATGCTTTCCAGAGTCAGATTTTAAACAGACGTCTTTAAAAAAGACAAAAAATACTTTATACACTCATAAATTATAACATTGAAGTGTGTCCTTTTTGTTTCATAAATCGTACAAGTAAATTGAGATATCTTATTCATTTAGGCTCCTTCAAGTTCAACGAAATCCGTTAAAAGTCTGATAAAATATCTAGTAGCCATTGCGGAAACGGACGTAGAAAAAGTCCGAGCCTTCTATAGATGGATTACAGCAAACATCAGGTAATAAAAATCAAACAACTGTAAAGACCAATTAATTTACAATCTACACAGCTAAATGTTATATACGTACCCCTCACCTCAACTCTATCAATCTTCAATGATCAATACCTCTGTTCTATTTTTAGTTACGAGATTTCGAACACTATGGGCGGGGGAGTCACTCTCTCAGACCCCAGCACAGTATTGAGGAGAAGAAGTGCCAACTCCGAAGGTTATGCAAACCTCTTTGCAACAATGTGCAAGTATGAAAAATGATTACAATGTTCAAGTTCAAAAGCCTGTCAGTGCACGAATAAATGATAACACAGTATGTTAAAATAAAATTCAAAAGCTAACTGCAATACATGGATTTCAAGTAAACTAGATCGAATATCACGTCAATTTTTTAGCAACCCATTAACGCCATATATATATGGTTTAACACAAAAAGAAAGACCAAATAATCCTAACCAGTTTTTATTTTAAAATAAAATATATTTATGCAGGGGTGCTGGTGTTCCGGTAGTTACACTCTCAGGGTTTGCCAAACGATCTGACTACGACCCGGAAATTCCCTACACACCACGTGACAAACCCGACCATGCATGGAACGCTGTTTTCGTGGAGGATGATTGGCGATTCGTCGATTGTTGTTGGGGTGCAGGATGGGAAGACGAAGAAGGTCGATGGAATCCGAAGTTTGAGGAATTCTGGTTCTTAACAGATCCCGATAAATTCATTAATGATCACTATCCGTGGACGAGCACTGACACCAAGATTAGCAACAACTGGCAGCTGCTGAAACAACCAATCTCTCTGGACGAGTACAACAAAATGGTAAAAATGGAAGAAGTTTGTAAGGAATGGGGGATCGACTTATCTCACAAAGAACCAATCCTAATCTTCAGAAAAGAAATCCATATTACTTTGGGAGCCAGCGTACTCGTGCGCAACATCACTGCAACCATGGAAACAGTGGACCGAGTTAAGATGGACCAATATACGGTGGTGTATCGATTCGACACTCTGACCTTCAGCATACAGTGCAGACCTCCGTCCCCAGGGACGTATGTACTCAGAATATTTGGTCAGCGAGACGAAGCCATCTCACACCCTCCAAAGCTTCTTCTGAGGTACATTTTGAAATGCACGGATTCCAACAACTACGTCAAGTCCCTCCCTTACGTCTATACACATGCGCAGACGTACCAGTGTACATTGCACGAGCCGAATTCGCGAGAGCTTCCCGCCAAATCGAAGGTTAGGATTCGTTTGTCCTCACCCCATCTCAGACAGGTTAATGTTGAGAACATTCCTATGGAGTGTGACGAGAATGGTACGTGGGAGGGGACAGTCCAAACCCCCCAATCCGGAGAAACCATCGTTATTTATGGCAGTACATCTGACAACATCCAAGGACGCTTCCACTCTCTATACAAATTTTATATTGTCTGATATTCTTAAAAAAATATTTCGAGACATACAAGTACACATGTATATATATATATATCTATGGTACCGGGAGGGAAAAATTGAGTGTTATACTAGTATTTGAAATAAGAATAAGATGAAAGGAGTTAGTTGTATTATCATTTGGTACTTCTAACATAGCTGCAGAAGTGTAGCTCTCCGAAAAAAAAAAATATATTGACAGACCGGAGAGCTACAGTGCCACCCATTGAAAAAACTGTTTATTTATTGCGCACAAAAATTTGCGCTTGGTTCTGTATCAATTCTTCCAAATTCTTACCTCAATTGTTAAAAACAAAGTTAAAAAATATTTTTAACATATAGGTCACAGTCAAGGTCACAAGGTCATTGATCTTGGTGTCATTTGAAAGAACTTGATTAGCGAAGTAAGCATACCAAATATGAAGTCTCTATCTCTTATGGTTCAAAACTTATGGTGACGGTTCAAAAAGCTATTTTTAGCATATAGGACACAGTCAAAATCCCAAGGTCATTGACCTTGGTGTCATGTGAAAGGGCTTAATTAGTGGAGTAGGCATGCCAAATTTAAAGTCTCTATCTTTCTTCGTTTAAAAGTTATGGCGAGGGTTAAAATAAGCTGTATTTAGCGTATCGGTCACAGTCAAGGTCACAAGGTCATTGGTGTCATTTAAACAGCTTTATCAGTGGTGTATGCATACAAGATATGAATTCTATCTTTTATGGTTCGAAAGTTATGGCGAAGGTTAAATTTTGCAGAAAAAAACTTTTTTTTTCTCTCTCTCTCATCTTTTGGATTTATTTTATTAAATCAATGTCGAATTCTAGAGTCTTCAAAATTATTTTAAATGATCTAAACTTTTCAAATACTTAGTTGAAAAATCAGATATGATAATTAGATACATTTTATTATATTACTATTTTTAGCATATACATTGCAGGTCACAGTCAAGGTCACAAGGTCATTGACCTTGATGTCATTTAAAAGAGCTTAATTAGTGGAGTATGCATACTAAATATGAAGTCTCTTTCATTCATGGTTCAAAAGTTATGGCGAAGGTTAAAGTTTGCAGATAAACAGACAGACAAGACAAAAACAATCTACGCCTCGGATCTTTCGATCCAGGCGCATAAAAAAGATATAAAGAAGCCAATTGTAGTGCAACAAATAACTTCATTCATGGCCGTAGGAACCGGGTGGGGGTAACCGTATGTGCACATTTACGCACATGCCGTATGTGCCTAATTGTGTCGATATTATAAAATACTATTAGAAAAACATAGCTACAAAATGCTTGTGCCCCCACAATAAAAACGTCTGGTAACATTTTTTTTTTGCCTACCATTCTTTTACTATGTTCTCTGCTGTCAATCCGCCAGAAAGGATCTAGGATTTTCAAGAGAACAAATTTACCGTAACCCATACTTCGAATGCAAGATCCCTTTGCATGTATTGTATATGTCAGGATATTAGCTTGAAAATAGTCAATGTATTTTTCCTATTTTAGCATCGGACTCTTAATGTTTTGAAATTGAATGATTTTGTTTACTGTATTCTGACTGTATGCAATCGAATGTGTTGAACTTATAAAACAGGAAATATTTTAAAGTCTCACTTCTAAAACAGTTTTAAAAATGAAAATTACAGACTGAATGTCATAAAACAAACTGAAACTTGATAAATAAATAAAGTTTTGTCATGATTGTCACTTAACTCCAGATTTTATGAACAAACAAATGAAAGTAAATTTTCATTTCGTTTTCATTATCATTATAAATAATTTTCTGTATTTAGAGTTTTAGAGGGATTTTTTAGAAAGAAAGTATCAAACCACTCCCTTGAAATTGCATCAAAAAATTTTCAGATATACTTAGTATACATGTACCAGTAAGGAACATTGCGAAAACGTGACTTGTAATCTCCATCAGGTCATCACTGCATTTCAAAATACAGTAAAGAAGTTACACTCATCGGCGTGCTGAAGCAAACGAATCATTTGGTACTAATGAAAAAACAGTGTTCATCGTGAATTGCAACATCACGGCTAATGATATGAAATGCAGGCGCGGATCTAGAAATTTTTCAAATGGGGTGTTGAGGGGGGAGGTGTAGAGGAAAAGAGTCATTATAACGTATGTTTTAAATATACATGCAGTTAAACAACTCAATAGGATTTTCTAAAGTGGGAGATTGATCAACCCGAGAAAAAAAATACTTTTATGGATTACCTGAAAGTTAAAAAAAAAAAAAAAAGAAAGGAAAATAAATCTCCGTACCCGAAAATCCTAATTTGTAAAGGGATGGGGTTTCATTTTGTTTTCGCAACCGAATTTCTATATACATGTATATAACATTAGCCTTAATTTCACCGAACATTTGTTAAAGTAAAAACACATAAAAAATTGGAACTATCTTCTTTCTCTCTCTTGTTAGCAAATCCCAAGAGGGGATGCAACCCCCGTTACACCCCCCCCCCTCTGGATCCGCCACTCAAATGCATGAAAATTGCTGAAACTATACCTGTCTTATATTTAGCTGATATTAATAAGAACTAGAATACATAAACATGTCATGGCTGTATCTAACCCCCCTTCTAAAATTTTCAGTAATTACACATTCTAATGTTACGAAAAACTGATCCTGGATATCACCCCCTCCAAAAAACAAGAACGTTATTAAACATATATGGAGAATCGTATATTATAAAAAGAAAAATCTGTCCGAGAAACGCATAATATGTACCGATCTAAAGGGGTGGGTCAGGAAACTCCTTTACAGTGTACAAGTGGCCATGTTTACAAATGATCTAAAAATAGCCATCAGGGGATTTTTCTACGCAAAGAAAATTTTTAGCGTTTATTTATAAAGCTCGCTCTGTGCAGTGTAGATCAATCGCAAACTGTCATTACGATGGCAACAAATCTTGATGTGCTTCTACAGTCAGTGGGGCCTAACAAAAAAGATGAAGTTCTGAAAGTGCACGAAGAAAAAGGTTTTACAGAAGCAGTGTCATATGCATGGGAGAGCATAATATCGGTGGACCCTGCTTTACGTGACGCCGCCGAACAGGCAGTGACAGCCCACGATAAAGACAGCATCTACTATAAATTATTTATTGACGAATACAACATGAAAGAACACTTCAGCCAGGTATGTTCTCATCGCAAATTCGTGAAAAAAGCTTTCCTAAGGGTGCAAAAATATTTAAAGCACATGACACTGGAGGACGCGGAACGTCACGATTTAACCAAGTACACTATGGCCCAGAGCGTGGGCTACACTGCCAGGTGGGTACACGGGAGCGATAACGATTCTTGGAAGAAAGCTTTACAGCACCATTACGACCACGAGCCCCACCACCCCCAGTACTTCAAGGAAGGGCGGATGGAGCCCCGGTACCTAGAGGAGAGTCTGGTGGACATGATAGGGTCGCGCTGGGAGAGAAATCTGAAGGGTGACGAGGACGTATCAAATCACGATCTGGTCGACTTCGACCCCAGGTACCTGTCACGATATAATAAAGAGGATCTAGAGGAAGTTAAACAACTTATTGAAATTATTAAACAGGGGTGAGAGAAAATGTATGAATTAGTTACAGATGTGGACTTTTTTTCCAATTGATAAATCCAATTTCAGCGATTTCTTTGTTATATATATAATAAATATATATGTAATGAATTTCATATTGTTAAAATATTATTTTTTACAGTTTTTAAAAGACTGTTAAAATGTAGACTTTTTAACAACTTTATATACAGTTGTATATATTTTTTACATTGTTATCTCTTATGAATTTATGTTTATAGATTAAAATGTTATGATTATTCATGTGCATTCATAAAAAAAATATTGAACATAGAAATTTACAGAAAATGTTCACTATTTCCGAATTTGATATTTTGAATAAATAAATACATGTGTAACAAACTTTTATAAAACTTAAGAGTACATGTATTATAGCAGCTGCCTTTCCTCTGATCACATTTGCCTGTAAATTCCCACTTTGCCATTTTACAAGAACCTTTATTTCTGCCAATTTTTTTAAAAAAGAAAATATTTATACATTGTTCTAGTCAGTATTGATATGTTTATACAGAAATTTTAGTGATAATTTTTTCTGATAAAAAAAAATATTAAAGTGATTTTATTCCCTTTATCCCATTTTGTGATTTGTGATTTTGTATTTCTATACCAGGAAATAAAACAAGCCATGGAGGAAGGTTAAAGTTTATTAACATCTTGTCCTCTAATTCAAAATTTAAACATTTCTTTTTAAATCCCAAAACAGAATGAAATAAGGAAATAAAGAAAAAACACGAGAACTTGGGAGCACAGCTCTCAAATGCAGATGCATGGTTTTGACAAGAAAAAAAACCCTAACATCTCTGAAAATAACAGTCTTCAAAATCATGGACTAGATACTCTGTACAAAAATGCCCAACAAATACATAAAATCAATTATCTTTCAAAAAAGAAAAAGAAATCTATAGTATATTTTCAACCCATACTCCCCTCCTTGGCCAAAACATTGGTGCTTTTTATGTTCAAGAGGTTCAGCAGAACAAATGAAGATGACTGAGGGATGAAAATAAATTCTGACACTCTTATAGTCACCATACTTGATTTCAAAAGACTTCAGTTACTGCAATTCACAAATCCAAAATTAATGCAATCTAGTTAAATATGACACAATATCGAGAAAATTTCTGATTTTATAATTTGACATCTTAGTTCTTTATACTGGATGGTGTTGGACTCAAAATCTTTTTCTAAATTAACCCATGAAACTGTGGTTGATTTTATTACCAGTTGATGAGGCCCATTCAATAATCAGTCATTAGTTAGACTGGGTGACCATTCAGAGATAAAATTATCAAATGTCAAGGAAGTGTCCTCTCTTCAATTTGCTGTTATCACCCTATCAATCTACACTTGACATTATTTAACGTTTCACTGATAACACTTTTAAACATGCTCTCTCCACTGTTCAATCTCTGTGACCCCTTTATTTCTGTCCCAGCTGGAAGACAAACACTTGATGCTGTAGGAAGTTGGTTACGTAGAGTTTTCCATCCTTTGTTAGGTGTATGTCTGAAGGTCTTTGTATCGGCTCATCAAATCTGATGTCACAGAGGAAAGATCCATTGGGTTTGAAAATCTGGAAAATATCAGTATTGTAAAATATATTATATATATCCTATACTTCATAAAAACATACTGATAGTCATTTACACTATCAAGTTAAGGTAAACACACAATATAAGTGAAAAATTTTTAAATACAGAAATGGATGAATCGAAAATTTCCACAGAATTGAAAAAGAAGTAGTTCTCATCAAGGATGTAAAAGCTGTTAAAAGGAGTGGAGGAAAGGCAAACAAAAACATAAATAACAGCTGATATTTTAAACTTAAAATCAACATTTTTATAAAGATTAAAATAATACATCATTAATCATCCTAGGCACTGATTTTGGGGACATTACTTTTTATGAGTTTTACCAAAATGTTCCTGTGTTGTACTACTACTGAGCCTCAACCTGCCCTTCCTATTTTTTAAATCTTGTTTTTTTTTCTCAGAATTATCCCTATGTAAAACTTACAGTGCCTATTGTTGTCCCAAACTACCCCTGTGGGGTTGATTTGAAGAAATATTTATCTATACATGTAATAAAGCTTTCAAATTTTCAGTTTTAACTTGACTGCTCCTGGTTAATGTTTTTTTTTTTTTTTTTATAGAAACTATTAAAATTTCACTAATTCTTTATGTCTCCTTTAGAGATGGCTTAATGTTGTCTTTCATTTGAATTTCATGCATCCAAAGATGCTTTGTTCCATCAGTGGTTCTTTAGACAATAAAATTACACAAGAGGCCCAAGGGCTTATAGATCACCTGAGTATCATCAGAGCTCCAGATAAAGTGCGTATTTGAAGAAATACGCATTGGATTTTACAAAATACGCATTGAAAATTAAAATAGGGTGTACAGTTATGCATTAGCAATCGTAGATAAGCATTACACCCAGTGGTTCTTGAGATAGAAAATTTTAATGATAGATTTTATCAGTATATATATTTCTATGTAAATTTAAAAGCCATTTAGTGACCCTATAATGTGGCCAACCTCCATTTCCCCGGGATTTAGATTAAAATTAATTTCATAGAAAGACTTTAGGCATAACTTTTTTATTATGGGTTCATAGCCAATTTTTCATCTCTCCCAACTTGCCAAATTAACAAAGATTCTTTTCTCTCAGTTTACTCTAGATATCTTAAATGAAGTTTTCTGTGTCTCTGACTCTATGGTACCTTGACCTACTGTATAATCTTCCTTGTTAAAAAAGAATGCTTCAAAATCTTAGCATAAAGTTGGTTTTACAATATATATATTAAATAAATGTAAAACTTTGAGTTTTTTCCGTCTTCAAAAACACTTGTACTTCGATTACAAGCTCAAAATAAAGGTCAAAACATTTATATATAAACAAAATGCTCTAAAATCATTTTGCTGAAAATCAAAATCTGCATTGATAAAAAAATCAGGGAGTAAATACACTTTGGGGTAAAAAATTATCTGGAGCTCTGATCATGTTACAACTTTCCATCAATTATTTGGTTCCTGTTTTAAACCAAAAGCCATGAAATTCAAATTTTCAGAGGATTTTTCATAATTATATATTTGGTTACTTAATACCCAGAGGTAGATCAGAGTAACAAAAAGAAAATGCATTTCCACTATATAACCACCAGTTGTGCACCCCCCCTCCCCTTGAACCACTAACCCTGGGGCCAAATATTTCAAAATTTTGGAAATTTTACTTCATCTTAAATGCTTAAATGGTTGATTAATACCAAAGAGCATATTTCAAAGCATTAATTTATTTTCAGACATGAAAAATTAACCATTTTGAAACAGACATCTTTCTTCTTCATAAATATGTAATTAGATCACTGGCATACTAACCAGGAGCAAAGGAAAAGGTTTTTAAAGAATTCATGCATTTTCACTATATAATCATTAGAGCCCCACTGACACCATAACCCCTGACCCACGGGACCTGAAATTCACAAAGTGGGAAAACTATGTACATAGTTCATTAATTTCATACCCAGGAGCAGAGGAGAAGACTTTTAAAGAATCAATGTATTTTCACTATATAATCAATAGAGATCCACCCTTACACCAGAACCCCTGACCCAGGGGCCATGAAATTCACAAATTTGGTAGAGGACTCAATGCTGATTACAATCATGCCAGCAGTTTGACTGCTTGATGTCCAGGAGTAAAGAAGAAGATTTTGAAAATGTACAAAGTTTAGTGGTTTAGGCCCCACAGACAGGAGGGCAGGGACGGAAACGGACAACGGGTTTCTCTTTTCCCAGAAATGCTTTGTCAAACTTGAGCTTTCAGCTCAGGTGAGCTAAAAATTTTCGAATGTTAACACACGACGGACGAAAATAGCAATAGGTCACCTGAGCTGACCTAAAAACAATTATGATAACCACAACAACAACTATGTACACCTTTTGATCAGAAAAACTCAGTTGACCCTTTGGCTCAAGCGAGCAAAAAAAAAAATCCTTTACCTGGATTCTGTTGTTTTTGCTGTCCCCTATAAGCATGTGCCCCTGCTGATCTGTTGTTACACCAGAGGGTTCCTTGAATTGCCCACTATGCACTCCATACTCCCCAAACTTAAACAATACCTCTCCACAATTATCTGTTATGTACACACAGTTGCAACCTTAAACAAGAAAAAGAACTATGTTGTGCTACTTGTAGTACATGTAAGTCATACTGAAACAACCTTCCACCTCAACTTTTTTTCTGACATTTGAACCATAAATGAGAAGACTATTACCCAAGGTCTTAATATTATCTCTGTAAAAAGTTTGTGACTGAAATTTGTTCACATTCTCTTCTCTTCTCTTACTTAAGTTACTTTGACCTTGACCTTTGACTTTTCCCCCTTAAATGTATATATGCAATAAGTAATTGTATATTAAATAAAGTCATGCACGTTTTGATCATATTTGACAGGTAATTTATAGTGAAAACTAAATAAAACAAATAAAGCTACAGTATTTATTTGTATTTCATGATTACTGAAACCCGAGTAGCAAGTGTCGGTTTGGCTATTCCGCGGAAGACCTTCACCAGTGTTCACCAGATTTTTCTTAATCGGTATTGTCCTTGAGAAAGGAATTTTCTTGTGCAATATTTGCTATGCTGGATTTATTTAGACTCTATTTAATCATAATAAAAGTTCATAGTCTATGGGAACTTACTGAAACGAACAACTATAAATTAAATTTCTAAAAATTATCGTCTCAGTTTCAATTCGAAATAAGTTGTGAATTTGTTTATAATGTACCCTGTAATTACTGTATAGGGGGAAAATAACTCGCGGTTTTAATATTTGCTATATTCACGGTGTTAATGAATCCGTGAATTCAAAAAACAGTGAATAAGTTTTCAATAGGTATAGATAAGGGAGAAAACTTTTAATATATACCAATTCCGCGAATTCAAGCAACCGTGATTGTGCCAAAAACGAGAAAAACGTGAAAATTACAACCCATTAAATTTATTCCCTATACAGTAACCAATTAATTATATACTGGATAAATCACTTTTTATTGTTTCACGAGCATCAAATTTATGGCATGTATAAACGTGCAATCAAAACTTCGAGAGATAGAGAGTAAAATTCAATGAAATATGTGTAACAGGACCAAGATTTTGGCGAGAGATAGAGAACTTCGAGAGATAGAGTTCGAGAGATCAGGAGTAAATTTGCTTAATTATATCGGAGGTTTACTTCGAGAGATCGAGAACTTTGAGAGATCGGAGTTCGGGCCATCGAGAGTCACCTGTATGCCTCTTCAATGACCAAATGCGACTGTGGCATTATATTAAGGTCAGATGACACGTTCCTCAAAAATATATATTTTTTCTTAAGAATTTGTCATTGATGTATAGGTACTTAAACAAGTTTCCTCACAAAAAATTAGGGTATCTTGCCAAACATTTGGACAAGATACCACAGGGTCATATCTCATATATAACCCTTATGAGTAATCTTCTGAATGGCCTGTGTCACAACTTTTTGATGTACTTATATTTAAAAACCTTTTGAAAACAATGTAGAAAACAGAATAAAATGACAAATATGAATAAGTTTTGATAATACCAAGAGATACAAAACAAATATTTGAGGAACATGTCGTATGACCTTAAGATGATTAGCACTTTGAAATGGAATTTTGTTGTAAAAACAGGTTGGCGGATGGCTGTATGTGAAATAAGCATTATAAGTGTTATGTAACAGGAAAGTCTTTCCTGAAAAATCATGGAGTTATTGCTAGAATGGCAGTGACTCAAATGTTGATAGTTTGAGTATTGACTGTATTTTCCTAATGTACATACCTAGGTCACTGACAATCAGCCTCTCCTTGTTTATTGCCAGAAACCGACATTTGGAGGTTGGTGGTGTCTTGGGATGAAGAAGCGGTAGAAAAGGAAATGCATTCCGTGAACTTCCATCCGCGGCCAAGACTATAATTCTTGGGTTGTTCCACTGTGTATCCAAAGTCACCAACTGTCCATCTGGGGTTAAATCCAAACCTACAAGAGACAAAGTGTCAGGTCCAAAATTTAAACAAGGTCAAAAAACCAAAATACTTACCCGGTAATTCAGTCCAGGATTTCAACATTTTAATGTGTAACATGAGGTCTGAGGTTGCATAAATGAGAGGCCTATGGACCACAATGCTCACCTGGTTACTTTGGACCTGCTTAACCTGTTCTTCCCCAGACTTTCCCCCTCATAATACCTATCTATCCCCTCTACCCTTGGCGGTCATGATTTTAAAAATTTAGAATGTACATTACCTAAAGATAAGTTTCAGCTTTTCTGGCCCAGAGGTTCTTGGGAAGATCTTTAAAAGTTTTCCTTATATATTTTAATGTTAAACTTGGAATTCCTATTATGGTTCTGCTCTATGGCTGGAGTTCATGATTTTAACAATTTAGAATGATAGAATCTACCCTTCTTAAGATGTTCCACACAACTTTCAGCTTTTCTAGCCCTAGTGGTTTTTGAGAAGAAGATATTTTTTATATATTTCAATGTAAAACTTGGATTCCTATTTTGGGCCTGGGTGTCTTGATTTTAACAATTTAGAATCAATGCTTCCACATAACTTTCAGTTTATCAGGCCCAATGGGTCCTGAGAAGATTTTGAAATGAAACTTGAAACTTTTTATTTCATTAATGCCCTCACATGGGGTATGTTAGTACAATAAGATATTACCAATTGAACAAATCAATTAACATATGAACAGATAATACAGGAAAACTTGTTGAGTACGAACACAGATACTGCGAATTTACGGATATAGCGAAGTCATCTTGGATTCCCAACTACACAAATTTAATGAATTCCTTATATGGATATAACAAATTACGGATATAGCGAAGTAATTTTCCAGGTCCCAGTGACTTCGTTATAACCTAGTTTTACTGTATAACAAGGGTACCGTTAAGCGGACCATCCCCTCGCGACAGGAACTTCACTGTTAATGGCAATACAAGAGATAAATTCTCTAGAGGGAGGTTAAACATGTTAAAGATTGATAGTACAACGTATTTTGTTTAATGTCCCTCAGAAATTTTTTGCTCCACTGAAGGCTTGCCGGTGGAGAGCTGCACATTTTTTCCTATAATAGGCACTGATGGCCAGAGCAGTGAGGGATCTTTTTGCGCCAGCATCTATTGAGACATGGGCCCTTGGTTTACACGGTCTCATTCGAAGGACCAGTCTCCACATCCCACAGTGGGATTCAAACCCACAACGTAAGGATCAACTCTCTTACTTTTGACAAAATTATTGTGGGGGGTGGGGGGAGGGAGGGGGGTGATGTTGTTGATCCATGTTTTACAAAAATGCAAAGTGCATAGCATTTTGGTTATGGGGGCATAACATGGATACCTAATTTGAGGTAGTAAAGTTTAATGTAAAAGGAAGAAAGTAATATTTTTTTAACAAAATTATCGGGGATGGGGGTGTCTATTTTTAACATAAATCAAATTGCATGGCATTTTGAAAGGGAGGGGGCATAACATGCATACGGGCAGTTTCCCTTATACCTAGCAGAAACATATCACGTATGCTACATGTACAAGTTTCAGTAATTTACCTACCGGTACTTAAGTATATCTCACAGTTCCAGGTAATATGCATTTTTTTCGTAATGAAAAATTATAATGTACATCAAGAGGTCAATTGAACTTGTGGATTATATTTACATCTTTCAGGAATAACGTGCACCCCAAATTCCCAGACACCTATTGAAATTTGGTAATGAAACCGCGACCTTTTTCAACTTATTTCAATTACTTAGCGTCCGAGTTGACATGTTAATTCATACAGACTGTCTCAAAATACGCACAATTAAATGACAATGCGCAAATAAACTTACTGAGCCAGTCTATCGAAGCCACCCAAATTTACCAGGTTGATTAAACGGCAGTGGTATTTGTCAAGTCGTACATAAAACTTCAGTTTATTGAAGCAACACGAATAAGTGGAAAAGAGCATTGATACATAAAATTTGAAAATTAAAAAATAGAAATATTCCATAGATCTTTAGGTCCTTTTCTAATGCCACACAAATATGTAAAGGCTGAGAGTAGTTAATGCAAAGGTTCTCTGTAAATCTTGCCCACAAGCTGTAACGGACACACTAACACACACACATACGCACATTCGAGATGCTATATTACCTCCGTAACTAGTTGCACAAGGGGATAACAATCTTTGATATGGACAGTACTGACAGTTGTCAAAAAATTAATATAATGTTTACTTTGTAGGAAGTGACCCCACCCTATTTTTGTCTTTCATTGACCATCTCCCTTTGTAAGAGGATTTGATCCTTCATTTTAAAAATCAACTTTTCTTTATCCAAGGATGTTTTGTACCCAATTATGATTAAAACTGACCCAGTGGTTCTTTATAAGAAGTTGAAAATGTGAAAGTTTACACTGTGTTTCAGTGTCTTTTGGCAAAGTAGAGGACACACATAAGCCAGTTCTAAGACACCATCACTTGAGGCTTTGGCTTAGGTCAGCTGAAAACAAAACCAATGACAAAACATACCAAATGGGCAACCAAGTGCATTCGCTCCTAAAGCTTTCATGAACTTTCCGTCAGCCTTGAAAGCAAATACAGCGATGTCATCTTTAACAAACACCTCGTCTTTGGAGTTTACCACGATTGCTGAGGGTCTTTTCATTTTAACCTACAAAATTCAATTTCCATAAATTGTAAGTATTTTATAATACAAAATGTGGTCCATGAGCCACACAGCTTACTTAAGTCACTGTGACCCTGTAGTTCTGACTCTAAAATGGTCCCGCTTTTCTTCATCATCATTTTTTCCTTCTATTCTTAGGTAAAAATTTAATCATGTATTCACTATTATTGTGGCCCAACCTAACCTAAGGGGGTGGGGGTGGGCAGGTTGTTATAATTTGAAAACTTAAAATTATACAACCTGAGAAAGCTAAATGCTATAACCAGAAGTCTCTGTCGAGACTGTAGCTCTACTGGTTTATACCTAAAACAAAGGAAGAGAAAAGTAGCAGTTGGGACTTAGACTTTTAAAAAAAATGATCCTTGCCACCTCATCAAAATAAAAACCTATGCACAGAATTATGTATCTTAGTATAGTCTACTTGTGTGCCAAGTTATATTGAAATTGGACCAAAAGTGTAGGAGGAGTAGCATTTTGAAAGAATTTCACAGAAATTTTTATTTTTAGTAACCATGGCAACACCGTTCATCAAAATCAAAAACCAATGCACAGAATTATGTATCTTAGTGTAGTCTACTTATGTGCCAAGTTATATTGAAATCGGACCAAAACTGTAGGAGGAGTAGCATTTTCAAAGAATTTCACAGAAATTTCTATTTTTAGTAACCATGGCAACACCATTCATCGAAATCAAAAACCGATGCACAGAATTATGTATCTTAGTGTAGTCTACTTGTGTGCAAAGTTATATTGAAATCCGACCAAAATTGTAGGAGGAGTAGCATTTTGAAAGACTTTCACAGAAATGTCTATTTTTAGTAACCACGGCAACACCGTTCATCGAAATCAAAAACCAATGCACAGAATTATGTATCTTAGTGTAGGCTACTTGTGTGCCAAGTTATATTGAAATCAGACCAAAACTGTAGGAGGAGTAGCATTTTGAATAATTGTTTACAGACAGACAGACAACGGATTTTTACGGACACATTACTATCGCATAAGCTCTTCTGGTCTCTGACCAGTAGAGCTAAAAATGACTTATCACAGCAAAGAGTAAAAGTTTTCTTACATATTCCTGAGAATCTTTGACTGACCATTGTGTTCCCACCATACCCCAAGAGATGATTCGAACAAACTTGAATCTACATTACTTGAGGATGTTTCATTATTATCGTGACTAATAATGGCATCGATCAAGATATTTGCTATATATTCCTAAGTAAAACATTGACCAGCTGTTGTGTCCCAGCCCTACCACCGAGGATCCATTTTTATATGTTTTCTCTATGATAACTTAGTTGATTTTCTGATTATTCTATCGTAATATTAATTTTCCAAAAAATAGGTCAGGAGCCAAGGAGGCCTATAATGTGCATGTAATTTGCATGCTTCTATCCTTCTGTCTCATGCTAAGGAGGCCTAATATGCTTGTAAATCTCATGTGGCTGTCTTTGTGTTTCACGTGAAATGGAAATATAAGGAATCACTGTCTTGTTAGTAGAGTATACAAGGGACATCAATGATAGCTGGAAAGGTGGGATAATTTGTGCATATCAGGTGAAGCCCATTATGCAAATTATCCCACATTTCCAACTACCATTGATGCCCTGGCATATTCTACTAACTAAAAAGTGAATCCTTAAATAGATACTGACATTAATCCATGTACTTACCTGTGTTGATTTCCCAATTTCTCGTACAGGTTTTCCCTCCTTACTGTACACCTTTATAGTATTATTGCCTGTATCAGCTACAAAGATTTCTCCAATGCTATTCGTAGTTACACCTATAGGAAATTTCATGTTGTGTCCAGTACCACATTTAAACAGAAGCTTTGCAGGAATGGGAGAAAAAGAAACTCTTTTTCCTGAAAGAAAAATACAAAGGTATTCAGTAGACCTAACATGTCAAGATCTTAAAAATATTTTGGAATTAGGCCAAAAAAAATAATAGTCTTGTTTCCTGCTACCAGCCTAAAAAAAAATAGGGTAGGTAGGTAGGAAAATTATTTTATTTTTATTTTTTATTATATTTTGTGTGCATTTTTTGGACATGAACTGAATACATGATTAATATAAACTTATCACAAGTCACTCAATATAATCTTTTACAATTAAATTTCAATTAAACTTGATGCACAACAACTCAAGTGTTATTTTATAATATACAGTACACTGTGTAGAAAGCTCCTTTAGTTTTCTCAGTATTTTTTTTCAGTTATGGAACATGAAGGCATTTGTCAAATAGATAACCAAACAAGCATTCCTTTAAAAACTCAGCCAAGGACCATTTGTGTTACAGAAACCACGAACTTTGTCAGATTACACTGTTTTTGATTTCTGAGCAGGTTAATTTTATCGTTGTTTACTATTTGTATATACGCACTGTCTATAGAGGATTTTCCAACCACGAAACATTCAGTGCATTTATTCTTCGATTCATGATACCTGGCAAAGATATCATTAAAAGTGGTAGTACTCGAAAAAGTTGTTTTTACGCTTGCAGGGGTGTGCAATTAGAAAAATCAATAACTAGCCCACGGGCTAGTGGCAGCTATAAAGTTACTAGCCCAAATATAGGTGCAAAAATTAAAATAAAAAAAACTATTTGTTGAAAAGAAATTAATTGTTGAAAAAGTCAGGGTACTGGAGTCATTCTTTTTAAAATTAAAGTTTAAGTCTCACTATAAAATTAAATCATGTATAAATTATAATGAAAGAAGATTAAAATGAATTCAAATAAATTATCTTCCCTTTTTCTGCATTGCACTAGCTCATTTAGAATGAAATTAAATTCATTTAGTTTTCATTTTAAATCATTAAATACACTATAAATATATTTTATGTGAGTCATAAAACACTTATCTTTCAGTTGATTGAGTGGTCATATATAATTTAATGAGATATCTGCATGTATTTACCATAAACAAAAGAATAGAGGAAATTTGGATTAGGAAAAAACGAAAGAATAGAGGAAATTTGGATTAGGAAAAAACGAAAGAATAGAGGAAATTTGGATTAGGAAAAAACGATCGTTTTTGGAAGTAAATAAGTCAGGCAGTGCTGCAAAACAGATAAGATTATGGAGATTTATTGAGAGTAGGAGCATGATGTCAGAAAAATTTTCACTGGTTGGGAATTTAATAGCAAAAACGAGTGAAAATACAGGTTGTGCTTTTCATGTAATGCGTGTGTAGTTATAATTTTCACTAGCCCGACGGGCTACCTCCATGCAGAAAATCAATAGCCCGACCCCAAAAAGTGGTAGCCCGGGCGTCGGGCGATGCTAATTGCACACCCCTGGCTTGTTTTTATGTCGTTGTGGCGGCACCGTACCAAAATAACAGAGAGAACATGACTCATGAGCCTGGCCTCTTCCAATGGCCGCCGCCATTTTTTTTGGTATAAATTAATTTATAACACGGGTACTGAAAACGGTAACAGAACGACAAATTCCGGATATATTTCGTTTTTTTTTTCTTAATCGAAAACAAACTTTATGGTTGGCCCCCAAAAATAGGGTCGGTCGGGTAGCAGGAAACAAGACTATTTTTTTTTTTGGCCTTAACATTTTATTTTCAAGAATAAAAATGCCAATGAAATATTTGTTCACTACAGAGAGTTGGTGGAGAATTGCCACAAATTTGAAAAGGTGTAGATTTAAATACCACATTCTTAATTCACTATCTTTTTTTATTACCGTATAAGTGGAAATTTTAGCGCGACGCAAATTTAGCGATTTGTCCTTTAGAACTGGTATTTTATTTTTAGCGAAATGCAATTTTAGCGATTTTAAAATGTTCATTAAAGAACCTATTGCAAACAAGAGGCCCATGGGCCACATCGCTCACCTGAGCACTGTGGCTGGGAAAGAGTAGAAATTAGTTTATTATTGAATAGTTTATATTCAAAAGTAGTCCCATGACCAATCATGGCTTTACTATTCTTAATAAGATGATTTTTAAAGAATTTTCTTATATATGTCTATGTAAAACTTTGATTGGCCATTGTGGCCCCGCCCTACCCATGGGGGTCATGATTTGAACAAACTTGAATCTACACTACCTGAGGATGCTTCAATAAATATGATCAATTATGGCTTTGTTATTCTTGGGAAGAAGATTTTTAAAGAATTTTCCTACATATTTCTATGTAAAACTTTGGTCAGCCATTTTGGCCCTGCCCTACCCCCAGGGGTCATGATTTGAACAAACTTGAATCTACACTACCTGAGGATGTTTCCCCATAAGTTTCATCTATCCTGGCACAGTGGTTCTTAAGAAGAAGATTTTTAAAAGATACCACCAAATTTTCATTAATTCCTAATTATCTCCCCTTGAATGAGGGCGTGGCCCTTCTTTGAACAAACTTGAATCTCCTTCACCCAAGGATGCTTTGTGGCAAGTTTGGTTGAAATTGGCCCAGCGGTTCTTGAGAAGAAGTCGAAAATGTGAAAAGTTTACAACGACGACGACAACAATGACAGGCAACGGACAAATTGTGATCAGAAAAGCTCACTTGAGCCTTTGGCTCAGGTGAGCTAATAAAATGCAATAAATTTTTAGCGTCATGTAATTTTAGCAATCTCATCACCCTCGCTAACAATGCCAAAATTAAATCCTCGCTAAAATTTCTACTTATACGGTATATTGTATTATTATTTTTATCACATATTTTTTTAAAGTAAACAAACCTTTATTTAGCTCTTCCCTGATATGCTGTGTAATGACACTATCTTTGTAGTTCACAAATCGAGTGGAACTTTTCTTCGGTACCTCTGGAGTTTTGGGAAGTGGGATATCGGAGACACTGCAGTCTAATTTATTTTCTACACTCCTAGAAGTGAGAACATTTTGATTTCCATTTACTACATCTTTGTCAGTACTGTTTGATACTGGTACTTCATTGTTATTTGATTCCAATTTCTCTGTGGAGTTTGGTTCATTGGGAGGCAAAGGGGGAGCACCTGTGTCAGATGGAATAGGAGCACCTGTGTCAGATGGAATAGGAGCACTTGTGTAAGATGGAGGGGGAGCATCTGTTCCAGATTGAGAAGGAGCATCTGTTTCAGATTGAGGGGGAGTACTTGTAGTTAACAGTGAAGGTGGTTGAACTGGGGGAGGTGGCACTGGTTCAGTTTCCATCACATTACAGTTCACATCTTTCTGGGGGGACATTTTTTCTGTTTGATTTTCTTGTGGTTGAATTCTGTCTGACATTACATCTTCTTTTGTGCTATTCTTTTCTGCAATCTTTCCTCTGATCTCTTCATCGCATTCCCAGGTCTCTGTTTCCGACACAGAGGGCCTTTTTTTAATCAAAGGTCCTGGAATTCTCTGTTGGACATTAAACACAGACTGATTATTGTTAAGATCAGTAGGAGTAATTGGTTCTTGTTTGATTTTCACCTCAGTTGGTGTGATAGGTTCAGATTTTACTGTAACATTTCCAGTTGGAGCAGGAGTGTTGGTAGTGTTTAGATTAGAGAAGACCTTCTTGTCTGTGGGAGTTTGCTTTGCCGACTCTGATTTCTGGGTATCATTTTCTTTTGGCCTGGTCAAGTTAGACTGTTGACCTGAGTAAGATTTGTTTTCTGTGACATTTTGATTAACTTCACCATTACTTGAACTATGAATGCCTTCTGAAGCACTTTTAGTAGGTGGGGTTTGTTTTGGATTTGAGGAATCTTTATCATTACTTGTTCCAATTTTGTCGCCTTTTGGCATCTTTTCTACCTCTTTACACAACTGTGATCCTTCAGGTGGCAAGTTCATAGTTCTTGGATTGTGGAAACCTTCCTTAGTTTTCAAATGGTCATTTGCTTGCATATTGTCATTCAAATCTTTGTTCCTGTATGTATTCTTTCTGTAAGAAGTTCCATGGGCAGGTGATCTAGTGCATACATTGATATCATCTTTTGAATTTTTGTTTGCAATGTCTCTGGTCCAGTCCTCTTTCTTTGAGGTAAGCTTTTGAGTTGACTGGTTGCGGTCTGATTTGAGAGATGAAGATCTGACAACTGGTCTCCTTCGTGACTTATCCTGACTGTTATCAACAGAGGCAACAGAATCTACAGAAGAATTAGAGGGACTTCTTGTTCTGTTTTTGCTGATTCCACCTTTCTCTAGCTGACTTATGATAAACCTCTGATTCTCTTGTGCAAAAAATGACTTTGGCCCATTTGATCTGCTCTTCTTGCTTTGAATGGTGCTCGACTCTACATTTCCTTCTTTTTCAGGCATAACAAAATCTGTTTGGGTGGACGTTGATGTAAGAGCACATTTTTCTTTGATACTTTTATTTTCTGAAGATCTTACTTCTGTTGTTGAGGTATTTGATGAGAGATTTCCAACCAGCTCATCTGGTTTGATTTTATCAGGTGAGTAATTTGTGATCAATTCTCCTAAAGCTGGCAAATTTTCACATTCAAACTGAGTGGACAGTTTTAAACAGGAGAGATTCTCATCTACATCTCGGGTTTCCAGAAGACCTGTTGTTTTCATCATCCTGTAAGGAAACATGAATTAAATTAGAGACCCAATGAGTAGCATTGGCCCAATTTCTTCAGAAAAGTTTTTATAAAAATTCTTTCTCTCTGTGCTAAACTCCTATTAAATATCTTTAACCCAAAGTGTGGTCAAATCCTACTAAATAGAGCCATAAACTGAATAAAGAACAAAATTTCTATTTGAGGATGCTTGTATACCAAGATCAATAACAATGACTCTCCTATTCTTTAAGAAAATTTAATTTTTTCACCTTCAAAAATTACCTACCATATTGAACCTTTATTTGAGACCCATCCTGCAAATTGGAGTTAAAGATTTGGACAAACCTGAATCTTTGCTTGCATATCTATATCAATCATTATGGATATGCTGTTCTTGAGAAAAAGGATTTTAACAGTTTGAGGATGGGGGAGTATTTCAATATAACATTTCAGTCTCTTTTATAGCCTCTAGCTGTAGAACTGTCGCTCTCTGTTTGAGAAAATTTGGACAGATAAAGCAGAGCTACAAATCAAATGCTGAAAAAACCGACGATCTACACCACCATTTTTTTTGTCACTCACTTCAAGTGTTATTTCAAATACCGGTACTGTATGTTTTCACAAGCTTTAAAAATGACATCTGATAATTAACCATACATTTAAGCTCCTACTCCTAAATGTTTATTTACTTTTTAATGGTGCAAGGAGGGACATTTTTGGTTCTGCACATAGAAATGGGAAAATATGCTGGGGAAAACATACAAGACAAGACAATTAATACCTGAAGTGAGCAACAAAAAAGTGGCAGCATAAATCGAAGGTTTTTACAACACTTGGATCTGTAGCTCTCAGCTTTATCTGTCCAAATTTTCTCAAGCAGCGAGCTACAGTTCTGCAGCTATGTAGCCTCCTACCCCTAACGATTTTGATTTGGACAAACTTGATTGTGCACAACCAAAGAATGCTTATAAAACTTTAATCTTCTCTGGTGATCCCATCTTACCCATGGGGCCTATGCTTTAAACAAATATAAATGTATGCTTTCACGAAGGTTTTATTTTTTTCTTGCCTTGTGATTCCTGGAAAGATTTTTAAGAGATGAACAAATTTGTTCTTTACTCTTGATTACAGTAAAAAGAGGGTTTGACTCTTCATTTGAATAACTTAATTTGAATCTCTAGGCCTCACCCAAGGATGCTTTATTGCAATATTGGTTAATATTGGTCTGGTGGATCTTGAGAGATTTTTAATAAAAACTCTCTTCAGCTTTCATCTAAAAATTGAAAATAGACCAAAAAAAATTCACAAACTGAGTTTACTCACTTTAGAGCAGTGACAAGAGTTTTTCCATGTTTGTTCTGGGTGGCATTAAAGCTTGGAGATGCCATGAGAAGTTTTTCAGACTCCCTTAAAAGAACACCAAGGGTAGACAACTCCTCCTCCACTTCTTCCCTGTATGCTCTAACGATTGCAGCTTTCTCTAACAAAGGAATCAAATCATGTGAAAAATTCATAAGTATATGTTTTTTTTTCCTTACTTCTAGACTCATTTTCATGAATTCATTTCAAATTTGTTTGATTATGATAAAATATTAATATATCCACTACTGGTAGTTTATTTCTAACTTATCTGTATCAAATATTACTTTTTATGTCATTGAATTTCCTCTCTTGTAAAATTCAATAAATTTCAAAAGCTGTATATATCAAACCTAGCTAACAATTACACATTTGTGAGCCAACTGTTGTAACAATTGAAAATGCTAACTGGTAGAACAGGTACATGTGAAAAGTTCTACTGAAATCAAGGAAATTAACATTTTGCATCAAAATAATACCTGAGAAAGCTAACTGGATTGCAGATCTCATTTTTTCATCAAAATCATCCACCCAGCTCCTTAGGATCTTGGTGTATTTGTCAAGGTCTGATAAAGCAGAGTCCCTTCTCATCAGTAGCAAGGTCGTCACGGCCTTGAATCGCCTGATCAGCCCTGCCAGCTTAGGAGACAGACTCCTACAACTGGCCAGCATTGTCTGCAGAACGTCTCTCACATCCTCGTCTTCCATTGTGGTAACTAAGGAATAAAAACAGTCGATCTCTAAGAGCAATACAACGATGAATCTAACTTGGACTATCTGCAAAATATGTGGCAATTTAAAATTATTCTCACATTCATACAAATTTTAATTTATTAAGCAAAGAAAAACTTGAGACCAACACCTTGCGGTTAAAATTGCGGAAGATTCTCACATGTGGATACCAAAAGGTATTCAATAGGTGAATATCTAAAGTTGTAAACTTAAAAGTATTTACAGATTACCAACACTTTGTGAGAATGCAGCAGCAAATTGGATATGATTTTATCCAACTTACTCGTTTTTTTAAATGCACTCACCAAGGCTTGGGAATAATTAACACCCAAATTGGATAAAAATTAAAAATCATATCCAACCACAAATCATAAGCGATCCAATATTATTATCTGGTATGGCTCGTTAATTTTCTCTTCATGTCTAAAATTATTGTTCAAGAACTAGTTATCTGATATTAAATTCTTTAATTCTTTACGAGTTTATGTAAAGAAAACCACACTCACTCACAACAATTTTGAACTGTACATACAAAATCCTTAAAAATACGAGTATGCACTATTTGTAGGTCTAGATGGGCGGCAAAAATGGCCTGGTGCAACAAGTGTCCCGTTGTCAACACTTCACAGTCGCTCCTCAACCTTGCTCACCAATTCTTTTTTCCCCAACCCTTTGATAATATCAAATGGCATATACCCAAACTGTACATAAGACTTAATGCAACTGAGTATCAACTATCTTGAAATACCAACATACCTTATTCCGTTTCAAGATTTAATGTTCCATTTCGTTTTCATTCCTCTCCATGCGTCAAAAGAGCAACTGAGCAGACGAGTTCATTGTTGGTAGAAGGGGTGATTTCTGCTTGAGAGAATTTCAAAAATTTATTAAACCAAAATGACAGAAGTAAAGGATAAAAAAAATTTTTGTTGTTGTTGAAGATATATGAAAGATAAAAACGAAAGCTTTTAAAGTTAAAATGAACATATTTTTAACGATTTCTGAGATTACACGCCCCTAAAAATGGACTATTCCATTCTCTCTGCATCTTTTTTTCGCGGGAATGTTTATGATTGCTCGTCTGCACTTCCGGTATGTCGTAAGTTTTTGAGAGAGGGACCTTTCGATTTAGGCAAAACATTGAAAATAAAGAACCAAAGAATGACAGACATTTCAAAGACTATCATAAATCCAAGGTAAACTATCTCCATCATTTAAGTACATGGTTCATTTGATTTTAGGCCTATCAATATGCAGATATGCCCTGTTCTAGACACCCCCCCCCATTTGTGTAACTGTGTTGAAAAAGTAGCTATGTGTTGTATATAGTGAGACCACGCACCTACTAGCACTAGCTAGATTACCCTTTAGCTCACTGACAGTTCGGTAGAGTGTTGGACTTTAAATCTGAGGGTTGTACTTCGCTACTTGTAGGTTCGAGCCACAGTGTGTAGGTTTGGACACCCCCTAGCTAATCAGTCATACATGATTTACTAGCCTATTTGCCAGTAGACCGTAGACTATGCCTGAGTGATTATCAGTATTATTAGCATATTAGTAGAACAGCTGCATGGGTAATACCTTGATTACCTATGTGCAACTCTGTGAGTACTGTGCATGTCCTGGTCTCTGGATTTCTGCAAAAGCCCAAGGGCATTGTTTGAAATAACAGTGCGTCCGACTGCCTGAGACGTACAAATTTTGTTTGCCATGGCCGAACAGATTTACACAAATCAACGCCTAGCAGTCCTTAAAGGACTTTATTTGTTAATGACCCAGGCACGTAGCATCGTTTTTGAAAGTGGGGGGGCCAACCTGAGAAATTTTTTTTTTACTTACCTGAAAAAGTTGACAAGCAAAAAACAAAAAAAAAAAAAAAAAAAAAAAAAAAGGAAAAATTAAAAGTTGCCCAAAGTCCAAAATCCCCAACTTTTTTCAAGACCAACTATCTTTCAATTCAAACTTTTTGGGGTAAATTTTCTTTATAACACTACACTGTGCTCAAATGTGGGGGGGGGGGCAACCTTCCTTTCAGTAAACATTTTCTATAGTAAAGGTAATGTTAATCTATAACAGGCCTGTGACCAATATTTCAATATTTCAAATCAAATTTTGATGGAGAAATAATTATAATCTATAACAGGGGCATATCTACCGACTTCATCTTGATCTTTTTTAATTTTACAGCTTTGAGGAGCATACAGATGATAAGATGAAAACAGAGGATTATTCTCATCAAAATGCCATTAAACAGATAGACAATATGCAAAGTCAGCTGGAAAATCTAAAGGAATCCCTCATGAAAAGTAGAGGTATTTAAACCATGTAAAATAACACTGAAATTCTTCTCTGTGAATTTGGAAGATGTCTGTTGTTGAATGTGACATCTTTTTTCCCCCTAAATGATTCCTTAATTAGGCTCTGCTTTTCTGGTTATGCCATTTTACCCGCAAGTTTCACTCTTGAGAACTATAAAAGATGTTTTGATCCTATATTGCTTCACATAAAGACTGTAACGTAAAATACAAGGGATATTAACCTCTTAACCTGAAATTTGACATGCACCGTCACTCACTTACCTTTGACCAGTCAGAATACATGTACTCTGAACCATTTAATTTGAGATGTGTGCTTGATTAAAGCATATTTGAATTCTTTTTTGTGAAAAAAAGTGTTATAGGTTAAAGTAAAAACCATTAGAGATTCGACTTTTCATTTGTTCAACAAACATACCCGGTATATGTATTTGAATTTCTTGAGAATCCAATCTAATTAAAATTAGATGTTAGATCCGCTGGCATACTCACTACACTAACATCTAACAACATCCCATGGAGGGTCACATCAGAGGTCAATTTCTATCAGCCAATCAAATCGTCACCTGCAAAATCATTGTATATAATTTTATGTGTTGTCAAGTGAACAAGTCTAGAGTTGTTCCGAATTTGACCTCTAATGTGACCCTCTATGGGATGTTGTTAGATGTGTGGCGAGTAGGCAAGCGGATCTAACATCTAATTTTAATTAGATTTTTGAGTATCCAAACATCTTTAATGCCTGTTTTGTTTTATTCAGTGCGCTGTCACATTTTAGAGGTTGACCTTGCGACTCAGTTTAGTCCATACATGATGGAGGCCATACAAAATACAGAGCAGAGCTGTCAGAAGTGCATCCAATCCCTGAATGGAACAAGTCATTAAACTTCTCAAGACATTTCAACATTCTGAAAATATCTCTGTAATGTTGACATATTATGTATATCTATAGACTTTGGATTCTTGTATTCCCTTGTATTCAAAGTAAATTTGATGTCTACTTGAATTTAAATGTTTTCCTATCTTTCACATTTTATTAATAAATTATCAGGAAAAAGAAAAAATATCTGATTTATCTGAAGATTTGTAATATATTGATACTGACATTAGTCAACACCCAGAGAAGACTGACGGCATAATTTGGTAGAGATTAGGCCATTCCAAGTTTTTTTCTATGTTTAGCGTCCACGTTCGCCTTGGTTTCTGACACCCCATGTCAGGAAAAACAAACAGAATCAGTTGTCTGAAAATTGATTATTCTGGTCGAAATTTGTGATTTCTGTCAATGTCTCTAAATATTTGTATATTAAATATAATAAAGTCATATTTGGAATATAAGTACAGTGTATTCAATTAAATACCTTGAATTCGCTGATGAAAATATCTTTCTACATGAAAAAATAGATTAAATAAAATCATATCCCTTGAATTATGTAATTTTGAATACATAAAATCTGTGTTTTAATGTTTTGATTTGTGTGTTTTTTGCTAAAAGGTAGCTAGGTTTTTGAAAGATGGGTGGTCACTAAACAGAGAAAAAACTTGGATTGGCCTTATATTCTTTATAATGATTACTGTCTATTTTACAAAATATTTAAATATACATTTATGGATTAGCGCATATGTTCTTTGTGTGCACCACTACCCCCTGATTATTTTACTGATACAACGTAAATAGAACACTAGAGAAAAGATATAGCTACATGTACCTACCAATACACTTGTGTCCTCTCAATAATAATGTCTCTGATGACCCAACTCCATGGCAACAAAAACAACTCTTGAATTTTAAAGTACAGTTAATCTTGTTTGCACTGAAACTAGTACTCTTCTTATAAAAGTAATATTTTGTGCTGCAAAATGGATTGCATTAATTAAAGTTAAATAACAATTAAGATGATTCTTTTCCTACTTCAATTAAGCTCCATTTATAATCGGAATGTATTTAACATGGTGACTATTAATGTAACAAAAAAGTTCTTATTGATTTAACTACAGCACTGCAAAAAAATGTAACCACAAAACAACATTACTGTTTGGCATGATTATAAAAATGTTTCCAATATTTTTACTTTAGCTGCAAGAACTTTGCTAGTGTAGAAGTTGGGGCTTTACAGACCGTGGATATCGGCCTGGATAGCTCAGTGATTAGAGCACCTGACTAGTAATGAAGTAGTCCAGGGTTCCATTCCTGGTCCAGCCAACCATTTTGTTCATGCATTTCTCCTTTCCTACTACATTTGGTGGCCAGTGTGAGGGCATTGTTCAGGTAACAGTTTATTTGTAAATTTGTGATTCCTAGCAGGACCCTAGAACTTGTCTTCGAAGTCGAAGAATGTTTAAGGAGGGAGGAATGTAGAAGTTGGGGCTTTATGGACCCATGATATTGGCCTGGATAGCTCAGTTGTTACAACACCTGACTAGTAAAACAGGGATCCCGGGTTTGATTCCCGGTCCAGACAACTGTTTTCTTCATGTATTTCTCCTTTCCTACTACACTAGTATATCAGCACTAAAAGAAACATATTGCACTCAAACAATTTTTTGGTCAACAATTTGCAATACATTGGAATAGCAACGTTATTGTATAGCACTCTAATGTTAATAATTCAATACATACTCCAGTATACAAGATATTCATTGATCAACAGGGTATTATAAAGCAATTCTATTTGTCCTGTAGCATTCAGTATTTTTTAAAACATGTTTCTGTACAGGGAAAAAAACAAATACATGTATGTAAGAAAAAATACTTTATTTTTTTTAATTTTGCCCCATTGCAAAATTACAAAAAAATTTCAACACAACAAATGATAACAATTTTTTCCTAGAGAATTCTCCTACACATACTCTCTAATTCATAAATATTATGACTTTCAAGCAAACACTTATACATTATGGCTTTTCTTTGTGTGGAAAATTATAACAAAAATTTGTTAACTGTTTTAATGCAAGATTTAAATTTCTGAAAGCTCTTTGGTAAAACAGTAACTACATATGCACTGCACATCACAATCACTACATATATAAATCAATTTTAACAAAATAAATTCCTATTACATAGTATGAAAAAAATTATCTACATGATTTCATTTTTATCTCGGCAATTTAAAGCAAGCACTTGACATTTGTTAAATACATGTACACTCGAGATTCTGAGGAAACATTCACTATGCCCTGATTATTAACATCAATAAATAAGGCAAAAATATTCACAAGGATTGCCCAATCTACCTTTTACAAGTTTCCCAGCAGAGAACAATGATATATTTGTTAAATTCATGAGGTGATTTTGACTGTAAACTTACTGTATTCCATTGTAACTTATCGATAATACTGGTTTTAACTGATTCAGATTTTAAAAAAAACAGAGGCCTATGGACCACCTGAATACCTATGACCCTCCTTTTTTCAAGATTGTTTTTTACTGTTTAATTCCCTGAATAAAATTTAGATAACATATTGTGGCCCCACCGTGCACCTATATGTCATGATTTGCACAATCTTAAATCAACATTAACTGAAGATGCTTCCATATAGAAGTGGGGGATCATCCCTTTACTGTTTTTCAGAACATTTTTATCCTGTTATTACTATGTAAAAATTTGTTCCCTAATTGTGGCCCCACCCAGAGGTTCTTGAGAAGATTTGTTAATGATTTTACCGAATTCTAACTTTTTTTTAATTATCTCGCTTTAGAAGAGGGTTGGATACTTCATTTCAATCACTTAAACAAAATTGAATTCCTTTTACCCATGGATACTCTGTATTGGTTTTGGTTGAAATCAGCCAAGTGATTTGGGAGAAAAAGATGAAAATGTGAAAAGTTGATACAACAATGGACTATGACAACTGTGGAAAATTTCAATCAGAAAAGCTCAAATCTTCCATGCAGATGAGCTAAAATTTGTACATTAAATAACCTTTGTTGCATAAATGACTATGTCACAATATTAATTGTACCGACATAAAAATAAATTTTATACAATTTTGATGCCATTTTCGAGGACAATACTTCTTACATGTATTTTCTAAACTAAGGAATCAATTTACTATTTACTCAACATTTAAAATCTCAGTTGGAACAGTCGATCTATATACACAGCTTCATATTATAAATGCCCCAACCCAAGTTGCACCCAAACAACTTTTAATTTCTTTCCTTAAATAATAATGAATGATGGGGAAGCACTCACTGAAATTTCAAAAGAAAAATTAAGGACAAAGTACATGGAGATATACACTACACTTCTGAAGTCATGTGCACCTTCAAAACTTAATTAAGGTCTAAGAAGTCCTGATTCTGAGAACACATGTACAAAGTGAAAGATGAAGAATTCTGTGAACACAAGCCTTCAGTCAAAGGCTAGCGATCCACTACTGCTGGATGATATGGAGCGATCTCTGTGTATTTTGGGTGGATGCTGAGAGCGGAATTTCTCCAGCAGTTTACTGTTCATGATTTCTGTAGCACTGGGTCTTTGGGCAGGTTCAAAAGAAAGCAACCAATCCACAAATTTATACTGAAATAATTTTTAAAATAAACTTGATAATGATAAGCATGCCTGGATAAGAACAAAAGCATTCATTGAATTATTCTGATGTATAAATTATCACTAGAATTGTAAGGTTGTTGGAGAGAAAAAATAGTTACGAACCTCTTCCTCATTTTTCTTGAATTCTTCTGGAAAAACCCTCTTTTTGATTTCCATTAACGTTCGAACTCTCTCCATTTGAGTGTTGAAGGAATAGAGCATTTCAAAGAGGATCATTCCTAAGGAGAAAATGTCAACTTTTGGACCATAGGGCTTTCCTTCCATCTAGAAAACAATCAATTTCATTTAAACCGTTTTCGCCATTAAAGGTATCCATTTCATATAAAGTTCAAAGAAGTTTACCATTTTTAAAATAAAGGGTCTTGCCTAATATGCATACCCAGTACATGTATAAAATGCACTTGCAAAATAACCTTCTTTCATTACAACATTCTTTTACAAGTAATTTTATCCTGCATCCATTTATATAATACTGTGAACAAACTTTTATTCGCGTGCAACAAATTTTCGCGAAGTTCGCGACAGCCCCGTCATCACAAATATTTCTCCCCGCGAACCAGTCCTTAAAGTTGCTGTTTCTATCAAGAAAAGGTCCGAGAAAGGCTTGGTCGCAAAAATTAATTGTTGCGAACTAGTTTACCCCCAGAAAACCGCGAAATAAGGTCGTCGCAAATAAAAGTTGGTTTACAGTACCGTAGATGAAGCTTAGATGTGTGAGAAAATGTTTTTGATATGCTTGTTATATAGAGGACTTTGTAACAAAGCACTACCTGTTCTGGGCTCATATACAGAGTTGTCCCCACTTGAGCAGTGTGTTTATGGAAGGGATTGGAATCGGTCGAGCAGTCCTCGATTTCTCCTGTGAGGTCAGTGGCTAGTCCAAAGTCCCCTATCTTAATCACTTCATCATAAGTGAAGAATATGTTGGAGGGCTATAAATATACAACGTACAAGTGAAAATGACTGATTCCAATACATGTACAATTTCTTAATGCTTTTCAAAATAAAATAAGTATGTTAAACCAATATTTAACAGAATTGAAGAACATGCAAGGAAAGCATCTCATACAGAAAATATTTTTTCAAATTAATCTATTAGTTTTTAAAACAAATTCTACCTTGAGATCTCTGTGCATAAGTCCACTGTTATGCACATATTCAACTGCACTAACAATCTGACCAAAAATGTCCCAGATGACCTCTGAACTTCGAGGTTCACAGGTGCTGGCACAAAGCCAATCTTTCAGTGTCTCTCGACGACAGAGTTGCATCTGTATATACAGGTAAGACCTCTGGGTAGGGGTCACATTTGACTTGTCCAGGGGCAAAATCCTGGCCGAGTGTGATCTTTGTTCCGATAGAGACAGAGTTTTTGGTCGACTACTACCTGAGTCAGTTGGAATGTCCACAATGTATTTGTTACTATGGCTACTGTCATCTTGAAAGACTATTCCACCACTACTACTACTTCTGCTACTCTTTCCACTTTTGTCTGCACAACCTGAATCTTCAAACACAATACTGAAAGAATCGTTTTCATTCTCTGCATACTGTTTTGTTGACTTGGAGAAAGGCACCGTGGTGTTAGCGAAGCTTCCGCTATCATCACTGTCATCACTGACTTCCAAATTAAACTCCACGTCCAATGAAGAAGATTCCTCTTGAATCCCCCCAAACAGACGTCTGGAATCTTCGCTTTTATCCCAAGAAATGCTCTTCGATGATACACTGAATTCCTGACTTCCTCCAGCACGTTCATCAGAGGTAATGATGTAGCGGTCATCATTAATGCCACCTCCAAACTGGTTAATGGCACTCTTCTCTTGTATGCTTTCATTTAATTCCAGGTGAATACCGTCACGGGTGTTTGGATCCTTTGGCATAAAATGAGTCGTTGAATTGCATGGTGTTGGCATACTGATGCATTCACTGCGTTAAAGAAAATTTTTAATTTTCGTTTTCAACATCAATTATATATTATTATATTATTATGGTTAAAATGAAACCAGTGATCAATAATTCCAAAATTTCAAATTTCTACCTCTCAAACATTTCCTGATCTTTACTCTCCTGCCAGCCTACGGGAGGTGTTTCTTCCCAGGCCTGGAAATATCTAACTATTCCAGGATGATCAAGCTTAGCCAAGGCAAAAACTTCCCTCTTCATTTTCATTCTCGATATTTCACTGCAAAGCAATGACAAACAACATCTTGAAGTCTGTAGTATTAACAGTAAGCTGTATTTCTGAATGTGTCTGAATTTGACAATGTATGCCTGCAGATAGTGATCAGATTTTTGTGCTGTTAAATGCTGATAATGAGGATGATTTTAATTTTTAGTCAAATTTATCTAATTCTTACAGAATTATGTCCATTGACAACATTTTGTGGTCGCTAAACTACAACTTTTTGACAAAGATTTGGCAAACAAACAGCAATTTGAAAGAACTGGAATAAAGTTGACTTCAATAAAAGCTTGCGTCCGATGTAGCTTACTTGAAAACAACAAACGACAGATGAAACATGCTTGCGAGTGCAGAAATAACGAAACTGTATATGATAAAAGACTTTTAGAGTATCAAACAAACAATAAAAAGGTCAGTAAATCTTTTTAGAAGTAGCGAGGAGTTTGAAAGCTATCTAAACGTGAACGTAAGATGATCGACAATTTTTTTTTGCTGACTTAATTTAAGAAGAAATTCCTGGAGGGTAACAGTTGAAATTGCCATTTTTGACTCGGATGACAATCAAAACTGTTACCCTCCAAAACAGGCACCATTTATATAATAACATTTAAGACTGAATCCTTAAGTATTTTTGACTTCATAAAGGCATTAACCTTCAAATGACAACACAAACTACTTTTTCTGATCACAGACTTACTTGATGGGTATTGTAACAGAATACAAACTTGATGGGTAGTGTAACAGAATACAAACTTGATGGGTAGTGTGACAGATCACAGACTTACTTGATAGGGAGTGTGATCCTCTTGATAGCATAACAACACTCATCCACTTTGTTCCTGGCCTCAAACACAATACCAAATCCACCTTTACCAAGCACCTGCAGCTGGTCAAAGTCTGATTTATATCTAAAATGGACAAGGTATAACAATTTATTACATTTTCAACAGCCTAAGTTCCTCCAAATATGTTGTTGAAATCCATGTTTAAATATTTTCAATCTCAAATCACTAATAGCTATGACGCCTCTAATGCTCAACTATGGCGTCATGTAGCCAATGACACTGTATTATAGGAAGACAGAGACCAAGGAAAAAAATCAAAGAAAATGAAATGAGCAGAGAATTCAATGTTTTGTAACTGAATATGAAATATATTTCAAAATTGCAAATCTCAAATATGTAGAGAGAGAAAGGCTAAAACAGAATTTCTTCTGACAATGTTCAGGATTTTACCTTGATTCATATTCATCAGCTTTTTTCTCTGAAGTATCCAATTCTTCAATGGAACGAGTCCCAGAAATAACTACACTATCTTCTTTTTCAAGACCCTTAAAAGAAAATATCAATTTATATCAGACAATCTTTCAGTTCCTTAGACACAATTGCAAATATTTCATTTCAAAGAATTGCAGAAATACATACACAGTCAAATCTCATCATCAAGAACTCTATATAACAAGATTAAACTCGAGATATCTTATAAAGTGAGATAACCAGCCTGGGCAAAAAAAGTGGTTCAGTCAACATATCCCTTGTATTTAAAATATAGATGTTCAAGAAAATGAAGTCCAACTGTACATCTCTATATAATATATCTATTTAACTAACCATGCATTTCTTTTTGTAGACCTTCCTTAACTTCAAGATTGTCAAATTCAGACAAACAGATGTCAGAATACTGATGGCTAACACCTCTTTCCTGAAAATCAAACCAAAAAAATGTTAATCCCTCACAGTACAGTCAAGATCAAATACAAAATTCTAATCTTTTATATAAAATTATGATTAAACACTGCAGGACAAAAAACATACCAATAGTTCCACAAAGACATGTAAATCACGTGTGGCATACTCTCTTCTGTTTTGTTAATAGCTTCACAGATATTTGCAGGTAGAATGATATCTGGGTACAGGTAATAACCATTATCTGAAATGTTACAAAATCATACCAAGTTGCATTTTTACTCAATCGTTTCACATTTCATAAATTTTGTTTTAGCGTGTTGTAACAGAGACATGTTTGTGACTCTGAATGGATTTGAACCTGAACCTTCTAGCATTCCAGTCCAGTGCTCCATCAGACAAACTAAAGGGTTAGTCTAAATGCCAGCACCTTTGGTGTGGGGTTCTGGGGGCAGTCATTGAATAAATACCATTATCATCATCTTACCAAATGGGTAATTTTCATGCCACACAGAGAGACCGGTTTCTCTGTTTGCTGCTTGCCCATTGGCTATCATCGGAGGAATGCTGGGATCTTGTCTGTTTCCACGGAAGATGGGGGTCCTTGAGGGAGCTGAAATTTTTTTTAATTTCACTTTCAATTTTAGTTATTTTAAAATTAAACTTAATTCAAAGTTTTAACTATTTCAGTTTAGTTTTAAAACTTTTTTGAAGAATTCAAAAATAAATGCTCAGTTTATTTACACTGAAAAAGGGTGATAAATTATCTTGTCTCCTTCAAATGATTTTTTTTAATGACAAAACTTAGATATATTTTCTCATTTTGTCACTAACCAGTACTGATAAGTGGTTTCCAGGTCACTTTAGGTACACTCATGGCATTGTTGTGGGAATGGCGAGCTGCATTAGCAACATTCTCCTGCATGGGAACCGAGGGTTGTACATATAGCTGGTTCTGGTGCATTCCTGAGATAACCAATATAATATTTTTTTTCAAATTTTGTTCTAAAATACATATCTTATGCTATAATCTTAAAATGACAATGATTTAAATTATGAGAAATAATTCAAAATGAACTGAATTGAATATGAGTTTAGAATTTGTTAATCCTGCTAATTCAAATGAAAAAATTCAAAACAAATTTACAGAAAAGACCTAATGTAATTTATTTGAATTACTAATATAGACTCTTCATTTTTGTTTTCACTGGCATTAAAATAAGGGGGTAAAGGCACTCTGTATGACTTACCCACGTAGAGTAGAGGCTGACTTCCTGTAGGGTCCTTTATATCCTTAGTGTCCTCAAATCCAGACAGAGCCGGGATGTGTTTATTGTCAAACACACTGATTGATTTCAACACACCATTCCTCAGTATCCAGGCTTTAGCCACGGGACTCTCAAACTGAAATGTTATTGAGCTTTAAAAGAAATGCCATTCCTATAGTACATATATAATTATTGTTTCAAAAAGGTGAGGAGAAGGGGACAATTAAGAAAATGTATTAAGGTTGATAATGGGTAATAATGAAGAGATGGATTAAAATCCATGCAGCAAATTTCACTCAATCTCTTTTCTAAAAGTTGCCAATCATATAATTTTTTAACTCCTGGGTATAGACTCAGGGTAGCTTTTCTTCTACTTGTACATGTATGAATGCTGTACTATTAATGCCATATCTAAGCCTTATTACACGTAGTACATGTTATAAACAATAAGCTGTCTAACTTTGTGTTTCCAGTCCACCACGTCAGGATTTTCTGGACTGAGGGCGACCACCATTCCTTCTGGTACAATGATCTTGATGGAATCCTCTGTGTCCAACACATCATGTGTCTCCTCATCTGGAAAGTTAAATTCAAATAAATAAATAAATTTATATTCCTTTAAATGATGTTAACGTTTGTTTTTCTAATTTCTCCAATATTGAGAAATTGTGAAAATAAGAAGTTTCATTTAAGAAAATATTAACATTTACTTCATATTAAATATGTATTTTTCCTGAATTACTGTAAACAGGAAAATTTTGGCCCCCGTTTTATTTTCGCCCCTTTCGCCCTACTAACATTTGGGCGAATTTAAAACGGGGCGAATTCAAAGAATACAGTATATTTTCTTAAACAAACTGTGACTGGGCGAATTGAAAACGGGGTTAAATTCTTTGCATGTGTGAAAGGGCGAAAATAAGACGGGGCGAAAATAACCCTGTATACAGTAATTATTGTAAAAATAAAAATATTTTAATATTAAGGTATAAAGTATCTTATGAACACGTCTTACTTGGACAAGTTTGAATACAAATGTCATCCTCTTCCTCCAGCGGTGTTGCATCATGGGATTTATCTCCTGGGATCATTTCTATTTGATGGCTTCCGACACTGAAGTTCCACCTATCAAATTGTAAGTACATGTTATTGATGTATATATACAATGTAACTGGGCTTCATGAAGAAATACAGCTATTGCTCATAAGAAACTCAATCACAAGGGATTATGTCTATAAGGAATGTTCCTCACGAAAGTGTTCAATGAAAACTAAAATTTATTTGCAACAAATCCAATTTTAATTTGATTGTGTTCCTTAAATTAATTATTAAGTTGTAGATCCTTACTTTTCAATTCCATTCCTAGGATCCACTGATCGGACAGTCTGCATACTCTTGGTCACCACCAGTATGTCTCGGTCACCTTGGTCAGCCGTGTCCAGCACCTTACAACCCTCAGAAGTGCAGAAATAACTCAACTGAAAAAAAACAACATTCTAATACTGTGTGTTTCTCTAAATACTAAAAATTTCCATACTGAAGCATTATTGCTATTATAAGCACTGAAATATACTACTGTGCATTGAAAAATATCTCTCTGTTTCCATCTCTGCACATACTGAAACTGATCTTAAATTCAAGAAAGATAAATTTTTATCGTATTTACCACATAAAGGGCTTAAGCAATTCATACATGTTAACCCCTATTAACTGCTTAAGATTTTATGCTTTTTTTACCTTCTAAATAAATCTATAAATGATGAGTCAGAATTTTACCTTTCCAGAGACCGGATCAATCCCAAATGAGCTGATGTCTTTACCCCCCACCATCATCGTCCTGTCTGACAGTTTGAAGGAAGAGCTGAGAAGAGCCTCCGCTGTCATTGGAATGGCCTCAATGCTGTCCCCGTCATACTGGTACAGAGTGCCGTCCAGGGAGGGGATCAATCTCTTCCTCACCCCATTCTGGTTTATCTGACCAAACAAACACCTTTGCTTAAAAAAGTGTGAACACTTTTATTGCTTATTATTTAAAAAAAAAAACTAAATCTATCATCCCGATAGATCAATCTATCATCATTTTTTCAATACATTAAAGAAACACACAATACAATATGTTCTATAACAAAAGTATGTCTAAAATTAACCCCACCCCACCCCCAAAAAGTGTCATTCTTACATGTAGCATACTACTACCATGTACAGTATTTCTTTTAATTTTCATTTGAAAATATACTTACATAGTGCTAAAAGAAACTATTATCATTTTTTTTTATTGAAAAGTGATAAATGAATCATACATCGAGGTTACTGATGCTGGAGGACAAAAGAGGTCGGGGGTCAGTTGATACGGTCCAGTGAATTCTTCCATGAACTGCTGCATCCAGGGCAGAAAGCTTCCCATCCAATGTACTGACCACAATCAGGAATCTGTTGTGGAAGATTAGTTATTTACTTACATACAAAATACTGTCTTTAAAATCAAGTTGTTAATGAAAAGTAAAAACCTTAACAGAAACATCTCCTTGAAGTATTAATAAAGCACTAGTCAGTGGTCAGGAACACAGACTTTAAGCTAAAATCAAAAGTATTTCTTCAGTGACATAATGGTCAGGCAGCTCAAAATGAGAAATCAATCGATATAACATTTGATTTCTACATATAGAGAGACTTCAAGTGAAGAAGAATCCAGAAAACCTTGCTCTCATACCAAATTGTAGAACAGTGTGTTCTTAGTCATGACATTGTCCCGAGGGATAGTAAAAGAACATTCTATTCAGTGGTTCATCACATGTTGAACTTTAACATTAGAAGGTTACAACATACTGAACATGTTTATGGAAGCACCTGGAATTCTACAGGGTTGTTCATTTCTATTTATAAGTACAAGTTATCTCTAATATTTTGCACAAATCATAATAATAATACAGATGCAATCTCTAAAGCTGGTTGCATTATTTTGCCTGAAATGTTGATAAATTAAAAGGTATAAAATATAATGAACCAGACTCACTTTTGTTTAGGTGGTCTGTCTTTGCAGGACCCACTCTCTGGTCGGGTGACATGGCTTTTAAACTCATCACCAGGAATGTGGTTTTGTTCACTACTGTACAAGGAGTCACTTGCTGCATTGCTGCATTTTATCGAGTAAAACAGCGCTCCAAGTGAAGTTACAAAAAACCAAGCGAATGCCTTCCATCTTCGACTCCTTCTTCTACCCATAAAGACCATCAGACCACAAATGAGTCATCAAATATTTAATTTATCTGATGAAATCTTTTCTGAAATGGAATGTTTACAAACTTGCTATCTGCGGAAATGATGTCAGGGCTACGTGGTCTTTCGATTCAACACTTCCGGTCAGGTGATAGGGATTCCCTAAATCTATAAATATCGATAAAATGAGTTACTCCCCTTTGTGAAACCGAAAGTAGGTTTTTTTTTTTTTATTTTTCGTCATTTTTTTTAATAATGAATGAACCAGATTTTCGTATACTTGATGGTGGTGCAGGATCAGAGCTACAAGACCTAGGATATAACATAACTGTAAGTTTGGCATTTTATTTTTATGAACATTATTTTTAGCGTGGAACATCGGAGCATCCGACAAGGGGATTGCATTGCAACGCAAATAGTTGCAACAAGAATATGTAAGTCCTCAGATTGACTAATATTTTCAAAAAAGTTTTAATAATGCAATTTTTTAAAAAAAAAATTCTGTAGATTGGCTCAATATTTCTGCAAAAAAGGATAAATATTAAATTTTATCTCCACTGCACAACGGCTCCATAGCTCAGTTGGTTAGAGCGCCTGTCTAGTAAACAGGAGGTCGAGGGTTCGACTCCCCCTGGAGCCTTTTTGCTTCCCTCACATTTTTTGTATTTTCCCTTTTTTCCCTATTTCTTTCTCCAAGTTCATTATCATAGATGTATATGGTGTTAATTTATATATCAATATAATTTTAAATGAAATTGTCAATTTTAAAACTTACGAGCTTTGAATGAGATGTGAAATTCGTAGCTGCAGTTCTGTAGCTCACTGGTCTGAAAAAATGGGATGGACGACAATGTTTTAGTTCAGCGACCTACAGATCTGCAGCTAGGAAATGCGTGGCATCGATAACCGTTATATTTTTTTTTTTGTAATTTTTAATTTATTTCAAATTTAGGGAGATCCTTTATGGTCGGCCAGATTGCTAGATACTAACCCAGATGCGATCAAAAAACTTCACAAAAGGTATTTGATTATAGATGATATAATCATGTAACACAGTCTTCATAATATTTTTCACTTTAACTCAGAATTTAATACACTTACTTCTTTCGATATCATTTTAAAAGATTGAATGTTTTACTATTTTGTATAGTTATTTAGAGGCGGGGGCGGACACAGTAATAACCGTAACTTACCAAGCCACTGTGGAGGGACTTAAGAAATATCTGGGGATAACGACAGAGAAGGCTGTAGAACTGATTAAATCAGGAGTGAAGCTTGCCAGAGAAGCTTGTCAGGAGATGCCAAACACAGGCAAGGGAATAATTGTCTTACCCTCTAGCTGGTGCCTTAAAATGAAGCTATTAAACTAATACCAGGGAATTATGTATCTTTAAGACAGTCACTTATCCAAGACCTGACCGATTTATAACAATTTCTTATGTTTATACGTTTATATCATTTTTAATTCTAGTTTAAGCATCCGCATTGACACCCAATATCAGGGGAGGGGGGGGGGGGGGGCAAAATCAGGAGAGATGATACGAGTTTTCTATTCAAAATCTTGTCATTTTCTTTAATGATCTTTCTGCACTATGTCATATTAGGTATATTTTAAGCATTTAAAATACCTTTTTCTGCTTAAGTATAATTTTTTCTACAAGACAAATAAATTGAAATAAAATCCTTTGCATGGCGTTTTTTGATATTTTAAAGTCTGTGATTTACCTAACGTTTTTTTTTTCTTTTCTTTTTTTTTTTTTTTTTTTTTTTGGACTGTGTGTTTTTTGCGAATACATGTAGGTAGATGAAAGATGGGTCAACGCTAAATTCAGAGGAACTTGGAATAGCCTAAAGTGACAAAGAAACTTCAAAGAAACATATGCCTATTATCAAGGATTAAACGAAGGGGGGTGTTAAATTAACAGGAATGAGAAACTATAACGAAGAATTGAACAACATGCCCGTACTTTCTTTAGAAAGTATGGACACACTGAGATTGGATTATTATTGCTATTAATCAATCTTTTTTTTAAAAAGTGATTCAATGATAATTTATTCAATTTTTTTAATAAAAAAAAATATGAATGTATTTATGTTATTTAGGAAAAGACAGACGAGTGGCGGGTTCTGTAGGTCCGTACGGTGTCTTTTTACATGATGGTTCTGAATACAGCGGGAATTATGTAGATAATATGACCCAACAGGTATATCACATGTGTATCTGTCTAAAGTTATAATAACTTCGATTTGTTTTCCAGTTAATCATTAACTTCTTTTAATTTTATCCAAGTCTTCAGGTCTTTGTAGATTATTAGTACCATGTGGTTAAAATCAAAATATATATTTTATTAAAAAGTTGTCTATAGAAAAATTTCTACATATACCTGCATTGAAATGTTATGAACACTTTCACAGATAGTTTTAGGCAAACAATATGTCGTAATTTTTACCATTTAAAATTGTATTGACATTTGACGAATGTCAGTAAAATCTATAGAGCTATGACTTTTGGGAATTTTAAATTTTAGTATACTAATCAAGACCACCATTTGAAAGAATGAAAAAAAAAATCATGGGGCTGCTAGATTTTTTTTTATTGGAACATAATGTAAAGTTAAAAACTTTATACAATGTATTACTTCAAGAATTTCCCCTTGTTCCAAATATTAGAGCATAAAATATATTAGGTATACTTAATATATTTTGATGCATATCAAGATGACATTGCGGTTTTTTTATTGGAATATAAGGCCGGTAAAGTTAGAAACTATATCACTTCAAGAAATTCCCCCTTTTCAAAATTTTAGAGCATAAAATGAAGGTATATATACTAAATATATTTTGATTGATATTAAGATGGTATTGCAGTAGTATTCTTAATACCTCAAGTGATCGTCCTACAGGAATTAATGGACTGGCACAGGCCCCAGGTGGCAGCACTGTTGGACGGCGGGGTGGATATGTTAGCCGTGGAAACCATCCCTGCTCTGAAGGAAGGGGAGGCAATTCTGACACTGCTGAGAGAATTTCCTGCCGCAAAAGCATACATAACATTCTCATGCAAGGTAGAATTTTTTATGATATGGTCATACATGTATATACTACTATACGTGTTTATATAAATGTTTGTACATTTTAAAGATTAAAGTAATGTACAAAACGTATTTCAGGCCATATTTTGATTTGTCAACATTTACAATTCAAAACGTTGGTGAAATATCTTTCCTTAATATAAACAGTAACTTATAAAGCATGTAGTCTGACTATCACTTCGTTCGTAGCGTCTCTATCAACGAAATGAAATAGTAATACATGTAGTTGGCTTTAGTCAGACTGTGTAACATGGTACAGTGTACCTAGAATATAGTAAAGGATACACGCAGTTCATGATTTATATTTAATGTTAATACAGGGAGTGTCCATGACTTAGCAATTATGTCCAGATTAACACAGAATTATCCAAAGCAAGCTAAATACATACGTTTCTCTGGCTTATACGTGCATTAGCCTCTCCTGTATCAAAGAAATGGCTTACAAAATGAAAACAATAAACATATTTAAGTTGTGATTAAGATTGTTTTATCAAAACAGTAAGCATTGATTCTTTAAATCTTGGAGAAAAATCGACCCAGTTCCAGGTAGTTTACACCTGGGAAAGAGTTTGTTTTTACTAAGAATGATCGAAATGGGCCAAAAATAGGAATAAACACCCATACTTTGTTTGGTGAAGGAAACGTTGATGACGTGAATGAAGTCAACAGAAGGACATTCCATTGTTAAGACTAATCTGTTTATTCATTGTTACTCAAAGTGATTTGGGCCATCATTTTACGTATTTTTGAAAATGCGGTGTTTAAAATGAAAATGTCTAATTGATTTTTGAGAATTTTCGAGAAACCATGCATTTTTACAAGTATACTAAGGTTTTTTCATGATTATTTGTGATGCATTTTCTTTTTTTTTTCTGCGGTTGTCCTCGATTTTGATACCAGAAAGAACAAGCTCAATCAAAAACCATAGTCAGGATTGATCATTATAAAATCTGTCGCCATGTAGAGCGTTTGCTCTAGAATCGCAGAGTAAGGAGTTGATTCTTGCGTCGCGGGTTCGAATCCCGGACGTGCACGTCCTT